TAAAATCTCGACACTTCCGGGATTCCCCAAATTTTATGAATTTAGGACCGAGTGCTGATTTGAATACCAAATAAAGGAATATATCCGGAAATAAAGGGTCCTATTTGACAAGCAATGACAATTAACGAGCAATCTGTACCCTGCAGGTCAGAGCTCTTAAAGATAAATGTTCCTACTATATTCTAACAAAAAAAAATTAGTCCCAATGGTTTTTAACACGATTAGCTCCTTCTAAAAATGAACTTTTTACGGAACTTTTTACGTTAGTGTACAAAGAATTTTTTCTACCCGATATACTGATAACCTAATGTCGAATGTAGTGATCGGGAGAGTGGAAATTGAATATAAAAAGTATTGTTTATATTAAATTCGCTCCAACCAATTTTTTATTTCATGCGGTTCCCTTCTTTAATTGTATATAGCAATGAAAATCATCGTTTCTATGACAAGAAATAAACATATTTTCACGGAATACGGCAATTCAACACGATTAGCTCCTCCTAAAAATGAACTTCTTACGGAACTTTTTACGTTAGTGTACAAAGAATTTTTTCTACCCGATATACTGATAACCTAATGTCGAATCTAGTGATCGGGAGAGTGGAAATTGAATATAAAAAATATTGTTTATATTAAAATCGCTCCAACCAATTTTTTATTTCATGCGGTTCCCTTCTTCAATTGTATATAGCAATGAAAATCATCGTTTCTATGACAAGAAATAAACATACTTTCACGGAATACGGCAGCAACTATAGCTCAATCTCTCAACCTAATTTTGCATTAAATAGAAAAATCTAAAGTGACAGTCAATCCACTTTTTTTCCAAATCAACTCAGTACTATCGGATCTAATTTCCATGTCACCGAGTTTAATAAATTGGATTAAGTTGAATCTCGTTAATTACATGAAGTTTGCTTTTCCATACAGATGTGTATTTTTACAAATTCTACAGGTCCTCTCAACAATCAGGTGCCACTGACCGTATCAATTTCGAATAGCTCTCTTTTTGTCTCCTTCCGAAGCGCGCCATTATTAATAAATCTAAAAGATTATCTCGAATTAATTAATCGCTTCAGGAGGACATCCAAAAATCGATCCGCTCCAAATGCAACAGCGGCGCAATGCACACTTTTAATTTCCAAGTATATACCAAACATTCATTTCACCGAGGAATAAAAAGAATAGACACGTGCAAGATGGTCGGCAGGAAAATTCAGAAACCAATCGGGAAACTCGGTAGAGTTTCGCGCCAAGTACATTTAAAAGCCTGCGCACCGACTCCTTGACGCCAAAATTCGGCACATCAATTCGATAAAATAATTACTTCTCAATTATGAGAACTTATCACGGACCCATGTTCGGCATAACGTAAGTGCGTTCCGTTCTGTAATTTTTCCATATCCTTTTTCTAAAATTACTCGAGTTTATTACCGAAAACTCGAACAATTTCTTATCCTCCGCGTTTCGGTACTTTCCATATCAAGGAACACGGTTAATTCTGCCGTTTTACATAAACACGAGGTTTTAAATTAAATAAATTCCATTACCAATGTTTAACAATAGCTGCGGACCATCTCGCAGTCGGCTTTTCACCAACTGACTGATCTGTAAAATTAAGAATAATCGGTAAAATGCGGCCATGCATGTCATTAATTCATCTACACGATTCACCCCAAACCTTAAGGCGATGTCAAAGTGGCGTCAAAGGGTCTCGTATATGAAACTTTTCTCCGAAGAAGGTGTTCCGAATCGGAAATTTTACAACGTTAATCTGGAGGCTACAAGAAAGATCCCGACACTCATGAAAATTTCCTTTTCTATAAACAATTTTTGAAACTATCAATAAACAGATTTTTTAAAAATTCATCTTTTATGGGTGTCAGGACTTTCCTTACAGTCCTCCGTACTCACATTGTCGAGTTTGAATAGATTAAGTGTACCCAGGTCGGAGAAAAGCTTAATAAACTTTTTGATGGCACTTTCGCATCAGCTTAATAATCACCTTTAGTTCGGCATTTCCGACCTTTAGAGGACGACTTTCGGCATTTCGGAAATCAGACCGGAAGTGGAGCGAAGCCTTGCCATCCGTGGTCGCGCTCTCGACCTGGAAATGTCGATTTCTTAGCCAAAGTTAGGGTTTGCGTAAATACCTTTAGTTTTTCTACTACCCCCCCTCCAACCTACTCGCAATCCATTCATGCCCAGCTCCATTCACAGACACACGACATACAATGTACGTTCGACATATGATTACGGATTACATTGATTTCTACCTTGACTTCCTCAGAAGTAAATATAAATATANTGATAAAATATTATTGAGATCGCAAATTAGAGGTCGGATGAGGCGGATACTTGCGCATATAATGTGTGTGACGCAGTTGGAGGGTTTTTTAGGCTTAAAATGGCGAAGGCCCACCCTCGAAAGCGGCGTCCGACTGTCGGGCTCTAAGGAGGAATATTCGTTGATTCAACAAAAGATCAAGTGTAAATGTTTGTAAACAAATTATGAAACATTATTTGTTCAGTGCCTACATATTTACACAGTAATAATAAAGATGAAGATTAGCGAAACTGTACCGAGGCGAGGTCTCGTGTCTGTGCTCTCAGTTTTCTCCAATTCCGTCCCCCCTTTCCGTCAAATTTATAATTTTACTGCAACCTTATGTACTAAAAGTGTATATGAATTTTAAGAATTTTTTTTTAACGGTGCAGTAATGTCCGTGGGATTTCCAGTTGATTTTCACATTATTTCAGGCGTTAAAATCCATGGTTTTTCTGAGGTGAATACCTCCTCGATTTCAGTACTCACTTTTTCCAATTTTATTTCATATGATTGCAACGCCCACGTGTATACAAAGGGCAAGGATTATAAATTCAGGTTTAAATTTTGCGCGGGTATATGTTGAAGTTCGCCGCCATCTTGGTTTGATTAAGAAATCACTGCGCAAGAATTTAAAAGAAAAGATTCAATTTTATTTCATATGATTGCAACGCCCACGTGTATACAAAGGGCAAGGATTATAAATTCAGGTTTAAATTTTACGCGGGTATATGTTGAAGTTCGCCGCCATCTTGGTTTGATTAAGGAATCACTACGCACGAGTTTAAAACAAAAGATTCAATTTTATTTTATATGATTGCAACGCCCACGTGTATACAAAGGGCAAGGATTATAAATTCAGGTTTAAATTTTGCGCGGGTATATGTTGAAGTTCGCCGCCATCTTGGTTTGATTAAGGAATCACTGCGCAAGAGTTTAAAAGAAAAGATTTCAATATCGATTTAGTTGGGCAGTGACGCGTCATTCGAGGTATTTTTACGTAAAATTCAAATAAAATACCTAATAAATTCCACGGCGAAGATGGCGGGACTGTAACCTCACTTTTTCAAAGTGGTCGAAGTATACATCGTACATGAATAAACATTTTAGTCAATGGAAGAAGAGGAATAGAGAATAATGGCAAGTAGGAGCAAGATCTAGGCTTAAACATTCCCGTTTTTCATACATTCCATCGATAATTTTGCATTTTAAGCGTACCAGGAACAGGAACTGCAGAAACATAAAGAACCATATTCCACGTAATTTCCATCACGTATGAAATTTATAAAGTAAAATAGCAAGTAATTTGCTGCAAGTTATTTGTTGTAAAACCCTGGTTATCAGAAGTAGTGCCAGGTTTTTTATCGGGCCGATAGAGATGACGAGTAAAACTGTAAATACGGTTAAGCCTCCTTTGGATTCATGGTACGTTCTGCTCGGCTAAACATAAAGTAAACAAAGGTTTCCTGTAAGCACGTGCACGAAGCGATCTCAGGAAATTGTTCTACCACTTGGTAACAAAGGGGACGAAAATAGCGCGGTCCGATACTTAGAACGTTCCAGCGAGTTTTCGGAATCCTGCGATCTTCGTTGCGATATCTAACGCTCGAAAAAGTCGCTGTCTTACTCTCTCTTCCTCTTTGCCTCGTAATATGCATTTCTCACTCTATCGTTTTTTTCTGTATACGTCCTGCCGTGCTCTGATTCTCTCTCTATTCTTCCAACGGCCATGCTTCTTGGAAAACCCGAAACAGACTCCGCCTCGAGCTGGGATTGGTGGAGTGCCAACCAATCACGAGCGGCGGAGCGCGAGAACGCTGCGCAGTAGAAGCCTTTTATTCTGCTGTAGAAAATTCGAGATACACAGTCCTGCCTAATAGGGGTATCCAAAAGGTAAGGCAGGAATGAGACCTTGGTTACCTCTATGCTTCCTCTGCATCGATGCCTCTCTCTCGCACCCACTGGAGGAATACGTGCGAGAGAGACAGACCGGTCTCCCAAGAAGCTAGGAGGGGGAACGAATGAGGCAATCCGAACAAACCTAAAATAAGATCTCGAAATTTAGACAGGTCCCACACTGAACCTTAGACCATGTGTATTAGACCTCCCATTCCCATATTTTCAGTAAATATAATGGCTTTAACTGTGTGAGTGAGTCGTCGGGACACGAGGTACATTTGTAACCCCTTCCACTGCTATGCGAGGTTTAGATATTTATGGTCTAAGCGCGTAAAAAGGTTCCACATTTGTTTCTACATTTCTTCTAATTACTAATTTACCCGATCCCTCGACATTAACTGGAGAGAAACCGCGTCGTAATTGCCAATATCAGTCTTTCAATTTTTCAAATTCGTAATAAGAATTAATGTAGAACTTGGAACCGACGTGCATTACTGGCCTTGGGGGTATACTCGTCTCTCTCTATGGAGATCTAACGTGTTTCTCTAGCGGGAGAGAGAACTCTTTCTCCAGTTTTAATTATTCTTATTATCGCTTTTGGAGCCCCTCTCGTTTTTACTGGTAGAGTATGCAAGGTTCGACCAATTAGGAAAAAGCTTGGGTAAAATGATGGAAATAAGAAGAGTGGGGAGATCCGAGCAACCCTTCCGACGACTCGGCGGAGTATTAAAATCCCGTGACGCGTCGCGCCGTTCGTCAGTCGCGAGCGTGACGTCGCGCGTGCTGGATGTCTCCGAGCGGCCGCTCACCTGAGAAGATTATACTCCTTTAAAATCGTGCTTTTTACCAGATTCCGTTTTTTCTCGCCCTTTTCACGGTATCGTCAACATGGTGAGGGCACTTGCTGCAAGACAACTCCCCATGCTGGCCGTGCCGAATTCGCTTTATCCACTCAACAAGAGCATGGATGAAGAGATGAAGCGGCTCTTCGATAATCTCGACATGTACACTATTTCAAAACCTACCGGTAAGTTCCTCATCCTTTATACCTTTGTTTTCCCTGGAAAGGTGAGTCAAAGTACCAAAGTACGAGAACTTTCCACGCTGCGTTCGGAGTACGCATAAAAATGAAATTTATTAAAAAGCCATTTCGAATGATTTATCATATTCAGTCCTTTCAAAAGTAATGCTCGATCTAATTATCCTGAGATTTTTGTGCTTGCAGTTAATTTCGATTTTTTTTTCGTTGATAAATGTCGAATACATTAAAGCAAAGTCCCTGTATTGTTAAAAAATCGTGATAAATTCCTGAAACGTGTTTAAATTCTTCTCTTACGTTTTTGAGACGCTTATGGACGTATTTAATATGCATGCTTTTTAAGTTTGAGCTTAAAATGTGTTTCCGCTAGAATATAAAATTCTAAACTCGTTTACAAGAATTGCGTACTGATTTAAATCATTGTTGCAAATTTTACATTCCTGTACAACTTTGTGCATGTAAATTGCAGAAATTTACTAGCGTATTTGGTACCGTGTAAAGTCTTGTTAATAAAAAGATCGACTAGTGAAACACATTTTTTTGTGCACGGATTTGCTAGGAGCCATTTTGTTAGGTTTTACAAGTAGCATGAGAAAAATATGTGAGATTTATTCCCCACTATTTATATATGTTTATATATTTATAATTTATCTATTATATATATCTAATTTAAGTGCGATATGTCCGGGCATCTTCTATCATCGATGTCAACAGATCTTTTTTTTTATTCCAAAACTGACATTGGTATCTTATTTCATACATTTTGCTACATGTGTAGAATAGGTCGGGTTACCTGAAACAACTTTTTTTCCTCGAGCTGCCTTTTCGTCACTAATACGTCCAGGGTCTTTTAATTAGGGAAACCGAGACAAAATATATCCGGATTATTCATTATTCGAAGTAATAAAATATCTTGAAGCTTATAGACCATGAGCTCCCGTGCCGTTAAAACATTTAAAATTTACTCACTTCCTCGAGCGTGTATGAAACGTTAAGCTTATTCTTTGAAAATCATTTTGATTATAATGAAAAGAAAAAAAAACCTTGAATTTTAAGACTTAGGTACCGTGGAAGTCCTGAAAAGTGTCCTTGAATATTTTATAATTAAGAAAAATGTTTACAAGCCTATACAATATGGGCGCGGTCAAGTATACCTGGGGGAGCAATGAAAGCAGTAAAAAGTTACATGATTATTATAGTGTATTATTTTTTTTATTTAAATCCCTGGTTCAAGGTCATCGACGGTCCACGTGCAGAGAGCGAGAGCTGCGTTAGGGTCGATTTAATAGGGACTTTCACTCGAAAAGTGTCCTTATCGACTTCGTTTGTTACGACGTCTTGTCACTTGATACATCGTTTCCTCTCGCCCTCTCACGTACGCGTATTTCGTTTCACACTTAAAACGGGCCTGTACCGCATTTTGACACGTATTAGGGCGGGTGCGTGTGCCCCCTTCCTGTGAGGTTCCTTTTCAGTCGACATCGATGGCCCTCCAGTAATGGACGAGTTATGAATCCACTCGGTGGAAGGGCGACAATCTATCGACGGTTTGTAAACAGTCGGGATCTCGTAACCTTCGAAAGTTACGACTCGGTTAAAATGTCCGGCTCGTTCTTGGTCCTCGGTTTTCAACCAGCTTTTTATACCAGGCTCGCGTTCAGAATTATCGAGGATGGTTGGGTTTTCATTTTACATCTACGACTTGCGTGAAATTATTTCTAATAAGATCTACCCGTAATGGTAATCTTAATTTGTATAGAGAGCATTTATGTTAATTAATGCCAACGCAGAGGTAGAATCTATTGTATTATATATAATGATAATGTAGAGGAAGTTCTATTTCCATTTATGATCGTAATATACGGTAATGTAATTTTTGTAAATTAATGTTAATGCATATATATCAATTTATATAGTGGGTATTTATATGAATTAATATTAAGGCAGAGAGTAGGTAGGCTACGCTTGAATAAACATTTTCTTGATAAATGATTTTAAATCTGACGGCGAAAGGCGTATATTATACGTCTAACGTTTGGTTCAGAATTGCTTGCACGTGTTCATGAATCTCGCCCATACGTCGAAGGAGCTCAGCAGTCAAAGGGTTAGATTTGTAGGACTGTTTATAGAGTTATATCTTGATTGATATCCTCTATTAACTAATGTAATTTTTATAAATTAATGTTAATGCATATAAAACTGTAATGGTGATATCAATTTATATAGTGGGTATTCATATGAATTAATATTACGGCAGAGAGTAGGTAGGCTACGCTTGAATAAACATTTTCTTGATAAATGATTTTAAATCTGACGGCGAAAGACGTATATTATACGTCTAACATTTGGTTCAGAATTGCTTGCACGTGTTCATGAATCTCGCCCATACGGCGAAGGAGCTCAGTAGTCAAAGGGTTAAAGAGATTTGTAGGAATGTTTATAGAGTCATATCTTGATTGATATCCTGGACATTAGTAATGCAGGCGATGAAATTGATAGCGCTTGTTTTCTTTTTATATTCGATAAAGATTCTAAAATAAGACCGGAAGGGTATATCGATGTCTTGGATGAATTTTTCATTCTTTTTTCTTTTTTTACCTAACCTCAAGTTTGCGTTGTTAATTTCCGTATACGTTTAAGACACTTTTGGGGTTTATGGGGTCGAGAAATTCGATCATCCTAATGTTGCCTTTCGCTGCTCAAGATAAATATTCTACGTAAAGTACCGGTGAGGTTGCCGATCTCGATATCAGTATTGTAGTTTTTAGTCGGTTTTAATTAGTTTTTACCGTTTGAGGGAAATGGAAGTAGCTGGAACAGTTTGCTACGTATTTTATTTCCAATTTGCGGTGGATTTGCGGCTTCGGTTCTTTTTATCGCTAAATCCTCGTAAGTCGGTAGTCCAAAGACGCGTCGGCGTCCTTTGATCTTCCGATTCGCGCCTAAATCGGGATTGTCTCCTCGGCGGGCTCTTCTGATCTCCGATGTTGCGACTGGACCTAATGGAATGTAAAAACTCTGTAGGAATTTGCGTTCTTTGGATTTTTACCGGCTTTAATTCCCGATCACGCCGAAATGGTGACTGACCGACATTGACTTTTTGTAACTGTTTACACAATAATTGTACATCCGAGAAACTCACCAAGTGGCGTCGCTTGTATCTATTGGGTTGACAACTAAGAGATTGCGGATTTTTTAATACCATCTATCGACAAAATCCGCAATCATTTAATTGCCAACGCAATATTTCTATTTTCTTTTTTTTTTTAAATTAGCTTTGAAACTAAGTATACGGGTTTATTCGGTATCCCAATTTAACATCGAACGATGCCTACGTCACACATTTCTAGGATAATTTTTGGCATGTTTATACCTTCGGAAACTCCGATTTAGGTTTTAATTATTTTATTTGTGTTTTAATTATTTTATTTAGGTTTTAATTATTTTATTTAGGTTTTAATTATTTTATTTGGGTTTCAATTATTTTATTTGGGTTTTAATTATTTTATTTAGGTTTTAATTATTTTCTTAGGTCTCTGGTAGATGCGCGTCGCTTGTTCTTCTCCATTACCTAGAGCTTTGCTTCTTTAGAAATGAGGTTTCTACGTCTCCGGGTTCTAATATATTATTCCGACAAAAGTGGCTCTTCTTTTCTCCGTTTCTCGAAAGTGCCTTGTCTTCGATAAGTGGCCTCTCCAAGAAATCGCTCACGACGCTTTTCTACGTTTCTCGAAAAAGAAGTGTCTCGTCTCGATAAGTGGCCTCTTGAAGGGGGAAAAAAAAGGAAATACTTGTCACGTGGTGAGAGTCCTGGACCGTAGTTTACGGACTTTATTACGACAGCTGTCACTTTTCTAACCGACCTCAAAAAACGAAGGAGGTTCTCGATTCCACCCGTATATATTGTTTACTTTTCATGTACGTTCACGTATAACTTTCTCCCTAATAATCATATTTTGTTTACGTTAAAAATGTCGTGGGTTAACCCCTTGAGTACGGGGCCCTTTTGATATATGGGCGAGATTCATCCATACGTGCAGGCAATAATGGACTAAACGTCGAACGCCCTCAGGCGCCTCTAGTGATCGAGGGGTTAAATAAATAAAAATAAATATAGGGGTTTAACGGAAACGAAAAGCAACGAACTCCCAAGGTTTTTCGCAGGAACAGGACATTTGGAGATGAGAAAAGAACACGTTTTGGGGGCTGCCTTTTACCGAACCGTCCCTTTCCTTCCTTTCTTCCCTTCTTTCTCGAGGAAGGATTTTTAGGCTCGCCAGGTGGTCGCTTCTGGAACAGATAAACGGGGTCCTCGACCATTGTCGATAATCGCGCACGTGGATGGTATTTGCAATTTTTACGACGACCTCCATGTCGGTTTTAGAGGGGCAGTAAATAAAGCCAGGGGGCACGCCAAGATGGCCGCACGTGGAGCGCCCGGCCGCCATCTTGGTCTACCCTAAGCTTTATTTACTGCTTCTCGAGGCCTAAAATGGGAGCCGGCTCGTTATCGCTATGACGCGTGCTACGACAAAGGACCTCTTTAGAGAATAGACACCCGAAACTTTAGCCTGTCCTCTTTGTCTCCGCGGTTAATGTTTTTCTCTTCCCGTGGTTCTGTGTAAACGTTGCGTGCCATTGGCCTGTCCTCTGACCATCGGGGTGTTAGGATATATATACGGCTATGTTGTCCGAGAAATTTGAAGATCTCTTTCGAGAGAAGGAATAGAGCCAGTTTTGTACGTGCATATGTAACATTATTTTAGTGATTGCATTGAATTAAGTAATACGTTATCCCTTTTCTTTTTTTTTTAAATTTACGAGTCTTGTGTTGATGTCTCCTGACTATCGAATTAGGATATGGCTTTGTTGCTCGAGAAATTTGGAGATCTCTTTCGAGAGAAGGATTAAAGCCAGTTTTGTACGTGCGTATGTAACATTATTGTAGTGATTGCATTGAATTAAGTAATACGTTATCTTCTTTTAATGAGAATTTACGAGTCTTACGTTAAGCAGTATATGAGATTTTCCGACTTGGAGAAATCTTCACGTTCAGAGTTGGAACTGTCTATTTGGGTACTTAAGGTGATGTGAAAGTGTGATATGTATGTATATATATAAAATCACACTATCATATCACCTGAAGGGAGTATTATGCAAACGAATGAATGAAAGAAATTAATGAACTGAGGTGATATAATGTTTAATTTCCATTTGCAGCCGACGACATCATGGAGGAATTTCGGCACAACGGGCAAGATTTCGAATACTGTCCAGACTTTGAAACCACCGTACCGCGAAATCCTCGTCGGAAAAAGAACAAGAAACCGATACCGAACGAATGTGTCTTTTGCAAGAACAATGGGGAATCGGCCGACTACTACAAACGCCACCGTCTAAAGGATGCAGAGGGCAGAGTTTGTTGCCCTATTCTCAGGTAATACAGTATATCGATAATGTCCTATTCTCAGGTAATACAGTATATCAATAATGTCCTATTCTTAGGTAATACAGTATATCAATAATGTCCTATTCTTAGGTAATACAGTATATCAATAATGTCCTATTCTCAGGTAATACAGTATATCAATAATGTCCTATTCTCAGGTAATACAGTATATCGATAAAAATGTTCAATACCTTTATCGATAAGATCTTGAAAAATAGTTTACTTGTACCATACTCTAAAACTATAGTACACTTGTATCAAACTCTAAAACTAGTACCATATTACCGAAAAAGATTGATCTTAAGAATTTGTTGTTTCATTGTTCTAAAGCATTCTAGAAGTAGTACCCATATTGATACAAGGATTGACCTGTTGATATGTTAAACTTGTGTAACTCTTGCAGGGCGTACAAATGTCCGATTTGCGGTGCATTTGGGGACCGTGCACACACTGTGAAGTACTGTCCATTAAACCAAAATCCAGAAACGGTGGCGACGTCGAACACCCTGAAGATTATGAGGAACTCTTCTGGAAAGAGGCGAAACAAGCAGAACATCTCCCAGGCGTCCTATCCGCGTCTCTTAAAGACCCAAAATGTTGTGTAAAAACTCGTACACCGGTTATAGACATCTAATGGCAGCATTTCATATTTCACATTCCATCGAGAGATCTTATAATCTTTGTACCTGCTAATATGGATCATTGGTAAAGTTATAGATTTCTAAAAGTGAATTACGTTCTCATGTTGTGTGACATCTCTCTCAATGGCATCGTAAAATATCGCGAAAATGTGCTTCAGATTTGAAAGACATTTCGAAGATTGCGCTAATTGCTCCTGAGATTAAAGTCTGACGTCATCTAGATTATTTTTAAGAAAGACCAAAGATGCCTTGAACGCTGTACTGATACAATTGCTTCTCTTCGGGATTATTATGCGAGACATTCCTCTTTTCTTATATGAGATTGTAATTTGCTCCTGTAAAACTATTCTTCAAGGAGTAGTTGTGATTAGTTCAGCTAAGTACCGAGAACGTTACATATTGGCTTTTCATGTAAACAATTTCTTCTGATCGGGTAAACGGTTACTTAAGAATCTCATTTGAACATCCGATTGATCGGTACCTTTAGCAGCTGCAATAGAGGTTCTACTGTATAAATAATAGGATGCTTGATGTCAAAAAGTCCTCAATCGGGTAATTTAAGAGTAATTGCTGGCAGATTACCGTTGTGAGTTATTCTTAAATTAATGGTTTACCTCGACGGAAGGTTGCTCTCATTCCACAGTACTGCAAGTAAAATCCTTGTACGATCTTTGCCCCCCTACTCCAGGAAAAGTATTAACTAGTATTTAATCACTTTACCGATATTGAAATGTATAAAGCAGTACGTACATGGTTTTAAAGAGGTACCAATATGTCGAGCAGTTGCCAAATATTACCTTGTTTACAATTGCTATGTATTTAGAGGGAAAGCGTAATGATCAGGGCGTTCCAAAATGATGTGCGATACCATTGTTAATGTACAGCGATCGCCAGTGCCATCTAGAAGTTACCAGTACACCAAATCGTAGTGTTAAGATTACTCTTAATGATTTACCGATTACGTTTGCGGTGACGACAACCGAGTGATTTCAAAATGACATTAGGCCGCCGTAAGGTAGGGTAGGATGACGGTTCCTTTTTTTAAATCGGAGTTTCGGGATATATCTTTCTATCGTGACATATCCCATAGATCCTCTGTCGAAAGACACTTGTGATTGGTTTGTGAAGGTGAACCTTATCAAGGTTTGACCGATGATACTCTTAGGTCTCTAAAAAGAGAATCCATTGCTGTGCGCTAACTTTTTCCTACGACAAGTCAATCGCACTCGCGTGCGTTACTCTCCTGATGGGCTTTCCTAGATTTTACAGATTACAACTTAATCATGAGGTTACCTTGATAACATTTTGATAAGAACCGTTTTCCTGGATTAAAGGTCGTGGCTCGTTGTTCCATTTCAGATAAATGCAAGTTGTCACTTTAACGGATATGTGCCGGCGATAGAGGCTTTGTGCAAAAGTTAGTCTTACGTATCGTTGAGAACTTTTATTCAAGGGTCTTACACTTTACTGGGCGCGTTAAAATTGAAAAGCTTGCATTTGTTTCTTAACTTTCTACAACGTTGCTGCGGCCTTTCCTTCACATTGGCGATATTGTTAGGAATGAGTCAAGGACGCGAATGTTTCTTATATTCTTATCACACGTATCAGCTCGAAATGTGAACCAGCTTTTTGATTGTCCCATAAGTAGTAGCTTTCACGGAATGTAGACGTATTTGTTTTCGAGGCAGACCTGTTAATTCCTTCCCTATTGTAATGTACGCAATTACTGAATCGTTGTAGACTTAGACATCTACGATTTTTAAGGGACTTCTCTCAAAATTCCGCTCAAAAAGCTAATAATGACCGGCTAATAACCTTGGCGTATTTCCTCCGGCAGAAATATTAAGAAAATCATGAACGACCGATTCCGCAAAAGATAGAACAAAGTTCCTAAACTCGTTGATCATGATGTTCCAAATTAAATGCCACTGATTGGCATGTCACTTCTCGATAATTGTATTCCTCAAATCTGGTTCCCATGTAATTCTCTGCTTTCCACGGTTTTTCTTTTCCTTGCTATTTTCAACCCTGGAGATTCGATTTTATCATTCCTCGCGCATATCCTTCCTTTCTAAACGGACGGCCATGAGATTTCCAATGAAATGGAAAATTGTAACCTAAGGATCTGTCATGACAGTTCGAAGATGTCGGAGAATATCCTGGACACGTGGGTCTCGTTCGAATTTTTGTTTTGCCGGACATAATATAAAATCATATATGAGACATATGGTCAGACATAATATGAGATTTCCAATGAAATGGAAAATTGTAACCCAAGGATCTGTAAAAGAGAAATATCTGTCATGACAGTTCGAAGATGGAGGATATCCTGGACACGTGCTCGTCCGAATTTTTGTTTTGCCGGACATAATATCAAATCATATATGAGACATATGATCAGACATAATATAAGATTACCAATGAAGTAGAAAATTGTAACCCAAGGATCTGTAAAAGAGAGAGAAATATCGGTCATGACAGTTCGAAGGTGTCGGAGGATATCCTGGACACGTGGGTCTCGTCCGAATTTTTGTTTTGCCGGACATAATATCAGATTGCGACTAAGGAGCGTTGTTTTTATTTATTTATATTTATTTGCGTACTCACGATTTTTTAGTGGCGTACCACACGACGCCGAGTTGTCTTTCTCGAGAACCGATTTTCCGATGAAACTGATTAACATATTTCCATTCAAACGGAACATCAACCACGGACGTACCCAGGATGTTTTCCGACATGCTCGGAAAACATTGAAGTTCGCGATTATTCCCAAATTACTTTTTAATGCGTCTTCGAGGAACCCTAGGATTTAATTTATGAATATGCCGTGTTATTAGTTTAACGAGTTGCGAGACCCATTTCTTGGGGAACTTACGACTAGGCTTTATTCCTTGTTGCCACGTGTTTCAGTATTTCCATTTTATAACTTTTATTGACCCAATTATTTGCTTTGAAATTTCGAGCTGTCAACTTCAATATCTCGCGCCATTGCATTATTAAAAAGTGACTTTCGGGGGTCGGGTCAAGTTAATAATTACTGTCGCGATTGATTAATTTTAAGCGGACGTCGGGCTCGGTGGGATTTGATTGTTTAAGGGGCGTTCGAGAATTTTCTTCTATGTCGATGTGACGTAGGGGATCTTTTGTTTTTGAGAAATCGAAAACGTGCCTTTTCACAGTACACACGTGCAGTGGAGATTTCGTAAGAGGAAATAATTGAACGTAGGAGAATATGGAAAAAAGAAAAAGAAAAATGCCTCGACTCGACGTCACGTTCTACCAAAAGGGGCTTTGGCATTTTACATTTAATTTACGCGAATAACTTTAATCTAAGTTAATATGAAAATCGCGTTAAATATGTACCTCAAAGTAATGCCGGTCGAATTTTGTCAGAAGGATTCCTCTGTGTGTACATTGTTTAAATTTAAAATCTACCATAAACTTGGGTACAATATATGGCGCTCAGATTTACATATTTTGAGTGTCTTCAAGTGGGATAATCTTTAACTTTCTTGAAATTCTCAACAAAATTCGACAGCCCCTATTGGTTTGTAACAATTAAGCGTTAAATTGATAAGAGAGGATTTATATCTTGTTACTTAAAGAGTCCCGTTTAAGACGATTTGCTCAAGAATGGACATTCGAATGTTGAACCTGGTACGATATATATATATATATATATATATACATATAATACCTATTAATAATGTTGATCCACTTATGTATACGCGGTATGTACTTGTAAGTAAGCAATTGTTAAGATAATCCGTGGTACGTTCACGTAATGCGGCTTCTAAGATTGTTCCTATAATTGATTATATAGTAGTGCGTTAGGTTTTTATAAACAACGAGGTGTTTAAGAGCGACCTGTCAATTGAAAAAAGAAAAAGAAAAAAAAAAAAAACGAGCGGAGATACTTCTCTCTTCATAGAAGTTGAAAAGGAGTTTTTGAGGGCACTTTTTAGCCCCCACGTTGGTGATCATTATCTCAAGGAAATGTGTGTGGGAGTGCAATGAAAATGCAGGCTTTTCCGAAATGTGTGTTTATCCCGCCCGTGTGTCTTTTTAATTTTCGAAATGCAACGCGCGCTGTAACAAAAGTAATTTTTCCACGCCTTCGCAGTTCACGGCAAAATTGTACAAAAGAAACTTAATTTCCTTATCGGCGCTCGGACGGTTGTCGTTAAATTTTCTTTTTTTTTTTCCCCTCCGTCGCGATAGGAGTCCGGGTGACCGAATGAAATAGATTTTAATTTTACAATGTCGGCTCGTGCACGATTTCGGCACGTGTCGTAAATAGGCTTGGTAATTTCGGCGATTATTAAACTAATAATTTGTACTTCTGTACGAGAGATAGAGATAGAGAGAGAGAGAAAAACGATGTTTTTTATTTTTCATGTTGCGCGCGCACACACATCCGTCGCGCAGAACTTTCCTCGGGTGTTTCCTTTCATCTACTTTAATTAATAATATTTCGTGTCGCGTATCCTGTAACGTAACTTTTCTGTATCTTAAGTAGAAAGAGTGGGACCTGTCGTTAGTAATATATTTTACTTATTTAACCGGTCGTCCTTCGTATGTAAATTCATTTTCTTACGTTTAAACAATGAACATTCGAAACGAGCTTTTTTGTTACTTTTGTTTCATACCTTTCATGAGCGGTCCTTTCCTCTCGTTAAGGTGATATGAAAGGGTCTCATTCTAGTGGGTTGATGCATCAGTAATGGCGTGTTTAACATATAACATAACGTGTAAAAAAGAAATAAATAAAATACGCCATTATGCATCAAACTAATATGTGAATATATTTATGCAATTTTTCACTAATTTAGATGCACCGAATCTTGGAAAACTTTCAACACGTGATTTTGTGGAGGCTCTAAGGAACAATGCGGTGCTCGTGAGATTTAATTTTTAATAGAAAGAATTTTTTTATTTCTCCCAGATTAGAAGCAGGAATAAATTATTCTTTTTTTTTAAGGGAAATTTTACGAGCACGTGCCGAAGTTTTAAATTATTCGGTGCACAACCCAATTTGGAGAATAGTTTTATAAATATTTCTACGTTATGTATATATATATAGAATGACCCTTTCATATCACCTGAGTCCGATACCTTATCTTTATATTCTTGTTTCATCCTTCCTTGTAAAGGCGTAATAGAAAAAAAAAATATATATATATAACGTCACTATTATGACGTCAGTAATTTTGCTCTTTTTACATTTTAGCTTCTAAGTAGTACTATTAATCGCGCTAGTTTTAAACATTCTTTCGGACGAGTGTATTTACATTTATTCGATTAATTCTTCCTTTGGCGGTAAAGTTCTGATTGATATCAGAAAGTTCGATAATGTGTGTGTATGCGTGTGTGTCAGATATTGTAATTATACAGGGCACGGTAAATGCGTGCCTCGATTACGTGCCAGTAATTGAATGTACTGAAATAACTGCGGTTACTTTGATTCCCAAGTAGATACGCTTTTCCAGGAATTCAATGATTTTCATTGTAAATGGTAAAAAATCACGTTTAGGTCAATTGCCAAAATTAGGGTACAAGTGTACGTAAGAGCATATTTAACGCTCGTGTATTTCGGAAGGGGATAACCTGTCCATTTAATTACACTTGTCTGGTAAATGTGACACAATGGTAATGAGCTTGATGCCATCGCGTATGACCTTATCATTTCGTGGATCTCGGTAAAATAAATTATTGAACATCGCGTGTAACGCGGGATGTCCGACTTTTTTATGACAACGTGCATTGCTGGATGTGCGAAACTCTGTACAGTCGGTTAACAAGTGCGAATCCAGGTACATCTATTTTTTCTGCCAAATGTGGCATTGACCTACTTCGAGATTTTTCGAGAAAATAAATTATTAAACATCGCGTGTAACGCGGGGCGTCCGACTTTTTTATGACAACGTGCATTGCTGGATGTGCGAAACTCTGTACAGTAGGTTGCCAAGTGCGAATCCAGGTACATCTACTTTTTCTGCCAAATGTGACATTGACCTACTTCGAGATTTTTTAGGACTTTGCGGATGTCGTCGGCTCGGTGACCGGCTTAATTGCGTGATTACGTGTACTCTGGTATATGTGCTAATGTGATTTCTGCAGTCACGTACCGGGGTACTGCTTACTTTTTACATTTCTACTGTTTATCTGTTAAACGTATATTTTTTTACACTGTGAAAATTACTAGTTAATTAGTGATTAGTATTAAGCGATATTTATACGTAAATTTGTTCACACTGTGAAAATTACTAGTTAATTAGTAATTAGTATTAAGCGATATTTATACGTAATTTTGTTACACTGTGAAAATTACTAGTTAATTAGTAATTAGTATTAAGCGATATGAAAGGGTCATTTTGTATGTTAGGTTGATGCATTAGTAATGGCGTTTTTTTTTGTTACACCTTACGTGTCATGTATAAAATGAAATTTCACGAGTAATCACGTTCTCGGAGCCTTCATAATCACGTGCTGAAGTTTCAAATGATTCGGTGCACCCAGTTTGGAGAAAAATTATATATTTCTTTTTTATATTTATATATAATTTATATGTTGATAATGACCCTTTCATATCACTTGAAGGTGAAGTGAAGCCCCCTTCAAATCAGTCGATTCGAATACAACACTTTTTTTTAAGGGTATTAGACCAAAATGTCCGAAACTTCGACACATCACTCCTGATCATCTAAGAATTATTCTGACACGTTCAAAATTTGGATTTTTGGAAAAAATTTTTTAACTCAGCTCAGACCAGTATCAAAATGGCGTCGAGCTCTCATATTTCGATCGATATACAATTATCGAAGGCTCTGATATGAGAATCGAAAGGGTCAGGACAATTTTACGACAATTTAGAACACTGTGGTAATCGATAAACTCGCATTTGAACGGGATAAAGGCAAAAAAAGTGTTGTATGCGCTTCTATGCTAAAACGATGGGAATACGAGGTCTCGGAGTGAAAATTTAATTGGCCTGGAAATTACAGATGGCACAGGGGGTCTCTGCAATCAATTAGGGCCCCAGAAAGCACGAACCCAGAGGATTTCTGGAGTTTTACTTCGATTTCTTGATATTTATCGTACGAAAACGACAGGTGGAGTATTCCATTTGGTACAATATCCAATATAATTCGACCCAGCTGTCAATATAAAAACGAACGTCGGCAGCGTAGGCATTTGGAAAAATCTTTATCGACGTCGATCAAGTTCCTCGACGTGTTCTTCACTTCACCTTAAGGGGGCTGAGATACTTATTGAAAAAGATGTACTTCCACGAGGAGAAAGAGAAAAGTGAAATCCGCTCCTATGTGTAATTATGCAATTGCCTTTCAGTGGGTTTCATAGGATTGCCCATTGGCTTGTAACAGCCATACAAATTCTGAGTGTAACATGCTCTGGCGATTTTCCATAGTCGGCGAAGCATCCTGTGTCGAGGGAATAAAAAGGGGCTACCAACGAGGCGATAACCATTTACTGGGAGTTGTTCCACGGTGTCGAGAACATCATCCTCTTGACACCAGGAAAATGAGGCTGCCGATCCTCGTTTTCGCCGTCTGCACGGCCCTAGGATATCCCGAGGAGAAGTCAGTCTCGTTCTCCAAGAGACTTGAGGTCCTCGATGTCGAGGATCGACCCTTGGCTGGATCTTCCAGGGCGTTTGGCTCCACGCCTTTGTTTCTCCTCCACGTCCTGAAGAAACTGAAATATCAGAAGATCCCAAAGATACCTACAACAATGGTGTCACCTGGGTGCATATGCGTGCCGTTTTACCTGTGCAGCTCCAATGGCACCATCATCACCGATGGAGTTGGTGTGATCGATGTCAGGTGATTTGAAAATCAAGCCGCTTATACTTGTCTTTGAAGTTGTATACAATTATTTAAAACAATGTCCGGGATAAATATCTCGTGAGCCTAGCAAGTAAAACAGAGCAACTCACCCTTTTTTTGCATGTACAATTTTGTAATGAAATTCGAAGGTTCCAAAGAAGTGGTGGAATAATAAGGCTATACGTACACTTTTGCCGGGGAAGTCAAATACGACTTGACAAATGTTGATACGCGAAGCAATTGGTGTACAATGTTAATGAATACGTTTTATTAGCAGGTATCGACGTTGCACGGGCGATCAGGAAGTGTGCTGTTTTTTACCTCCTAGCACATTAATGCCGATACCTACCGCTGTGCCAACGGCGGCACCCACGATGAGTATGATGCCTGTGGTGATGCCGACAATGCCACCAACGATGCCACCAACAATGCCACCAACAATGCCACCAACTATGCCACCAACTATGCCACCTACAATGCCCCCAACAATGCCACCAACAATGCCACCTACAATGCCCCCAACAATGCCCCCAACAATGCCACCTACAATGCCACCTACAATGCCACCAACAATGCCCCCAACAATGCCTCCAATTCCTATATCAAATTGCATCTGCGTCCCTATACTACAATGTGGTGGGAACGGAGTGGTCATAGTATCAGGACAAGGCATAATAGACCCTCGCCAGCAGATTAGGTACTGTGTGATACCTACCCAAGTGTGCTGCACTAACCCGTACCCAGTGGTGTATCCAACGAATCCACCGATGACGACTACTCCAGCTCCAACAACTACTACTCCAGCTCCAACGACAACTACTCCAGCTCCAACGACGACTACTCCAGCTCCAACGACGACCACCCCAGCTCCAACGACAACCACCCCAGCTCCAACGACAACAATGGCTCCAGTCCAACCGCTCATCTGCAACTGCATACAATGCATGTCCAGTGTAGTCATAATCTGTCCCGGATTTGGGGTAATCGACCCCAGGTATTCTGCCGGAAATCAGGGCTGCATATGCGAAACCGTCAGTCAGGTCTGCTGTGGAGGCGTTCTTTGTCAAGCGCCGACTGGTACCGCAGCTACCAGCACTTTGGGACCTGTAGTCAACTCTGGAACCTCTCAGGCTTGTGTCTGCGTAAAATCTTGGACCTGTTCCGATGGGAATGTTGTCAATATCGACGGAGCTGGCATCATAGATCCTAGATTTAGCTTGTGTCCTGCGGCGGACGAAGTCTGTTGTCGTCCTGAGGGTGTTGCGGAGTCCTTCGAGGTCTCCGCGGCTCTTGGGAACGGAAGGACCCAGGGTTCTGAAGGTCAAGGTTCCACTGGTGCGCAAGGAATCTGCGGAGTTCGTGGGATGACGTACTCGACAGGTAGATACAAATTTCCAGCAACCCGAGCGAAGTGAAGTATTTAAAGTTCCATGTCTCTTTGTGCATATGAAACAGTCTCTGTATATCTGAGAAGTCAAATCGTTGGTGGAAGCTTCAAACGATTCGGAATACCCAGTTAGGAGATAAGCTTCATGGACGATTGACTCTTCAGATGCCACTTTGACATCCCCTTAACGTCAAAATTAGGCTGGCGTTGTTCCCACGCCGCGCATGTACGTCATAAGTGTTGCCCCTGCTCGCCGTTACGCGGCAGCGCGGTCGACTCGGAGTTTGCTGAGTTGTACCGTTTCTCTCTTCAGCACGTGTTATTGTGCATAACAAAGTCTTGTATTTGATTTTTTTCAGGGACTGCTTTATCCAGCGATACTGGAGAGACGTATTTTGCGGAGTTTCCATGGATGGTCGCTCTTCTAGTGAAGCAAAGTAACGGAGCACTCCTTTTCAAATGTGGCGCTTCCATGATCAACACTCAGGCCGTCTTGACCGCCGCTCATTGTGTTAATAAGTAAGGGTCTTTTTATTCATTCGTTAACAATTTTTCGGCGGCAAATGTGTCTCCGTGCATGTCGCCGTAACACGTTTGTGAACTTGTTGAATAAGTTTGGTACTAATGGTGGTACGATAAAAGAGACGTTTCTTTTTTTTACGTAGTGTCGATCCTAAATTGCTGGTAGCACGTTTTGGCGAATGGAACACGCAGAACAATGATGAACCCGTTCCGTTTCAAGAGGCAAACGTGGAGAGTATGGTGATGCATCCGCAGTTTTACAGCGGAGGTCTTTATCACGATGTGGCTGTTCTTGTTCTGGCCTCGGCTGTCAGTTACGCTGTCAACGTCATGCCAATTTGTCTGCCTGAACAGGGAATGGCAATTGCAGCCGGGACTAGGTGTTTTGCGACTGGATGGGGTCGCAATGCGTTTGGTAACTTCTCATAAAATTTTGGATTAATTCCCTCTTTTTTTCTCTCCAAGGAACATCAGATGTTCCCCTGGCGAGCGATGTTGCAAATTAAAATTCATCCTTCCGATACTGCGGATGCCTGAACTAAAACATACTGGCAAAATATCATGAACATAGTGAAAGGGTTAATTATACAGAAATTGTGCGTTGATTAATTACAGAAGGGCAGTTCCAGACTGTGCTTCGCGAGGTCAATCTGCCCATTGTTGAACACTCGGATTGTCAGACCAGGTTGAGGACCACAAAATTGGGCCAATACTTCCAGTTACATGGAAGCTTCATATGCGCTGGAGGAGAGTCCAACAGAGACACCTGTGGAGGTGATGGGGGAGGTCCATTAGTTTGTCCAGACTCTCAAGGAAGGTATTACCAAGTAAGTTGCCCTTGGAAAATCCTCGTGGAAGGCCACTCCATCTTTTGTTACCGTGTTAACTGTAGAATTCACTGTAACGACGTGTATACACGTCGAACGCGGTTAACTGGTTAAGGTGAAGTGAATTACGTCGAGGAACTTGATCAACGTTGATAAAGAAGATTTTTCTAAATGCCTACGTTGCCGACGTTCGTTTTTATATTGACAGCTGGGTCGAATTATATTGTGTATTGTGCCAAATGGCATATTCCACCTGTCGTTTTCGTACAATAATTATTAAGAAATCGAAGTAAACCTCCAGAAATCCTCTGGATTCATGCCTTCTGGGGCCCTAATTGTCTGCGGAGGGACCTCCTGCGCCATCTGTGATTTTCAGGTCAATTAAATTTTCACTCCGAGACCTCGTATTCCCATCGTTTTAACAAAGAAGCGCATACAACACTTTTTTTGCCTTTATCCCGTTCAAATGCGAGTTTATCGATTACCAGAGTGTTCTAAATTGTAGTAAAATTGTCCTGACCCTTTCGATTCTCATATCAGAGCCTTCGATAATCGTATATTAATCGAAATATCAGAGCTCGACGCCATAAAAAATTTTGTTGAAATATCCAAATTTTTAATGTGTCAGGGCAATTCTTAGATGATCAGGAGTGATGTGTCAAAGTTTCGGACATTTTGGTCTAATACCCTTAAAAAAAAGTGTTGTATTCGAATCGACTGATTTGAAGGATGTTTCACTTCACCTTAATGGGCATCTCTAGTGTTGAACGTCGCCGAAACCGTTTTGTATTTGATTGTTAAAAAAGTCCTTTCTACTTTTCTTGAGTTTCATTTCCATTTCATTATAATCATCGTACGGATAAGACATATGGTGTATGTCATTCCGCACATACAATGCTTCATGTGATATGATACATCTGTCGACACAGATATGAACGTCGGTAACGTAGGCAGTTACAAGAATCTCCTTTACCCAAGTCGATTGAACTTATTAACGGGCTTCACTGTATCTTATATATATCCTGTAAACAAAATGATACAAACATTTCTTTGCTTTATCAATAGCTCGGCATGTAGTAAAGATGCAAGCGTTTATTAATTAAGAGGAACTAGGGCATCGGTTACCATCATTTGTTGAACATCGATTCTTGTTTCCTTTCAGGCTGGAATCATAGCTTGGGGAATTGGATGTGGCTCATCGAACATCCCCGCAGTGTATGCCAGTGTTCCTCAACATCGACAATGGATCGACCAGCAGCTTGCTAATTACGGAGTTCTTTAACGACCCGTTAATGATCCCGGAAAGTGCAGAACGATCGTGTAAACCGCTGGCAGCACATTGGGGTCGCTCGTGCACGAGAACAAAGTGCTCCAATTGATTCGATCTAGTCCTCGCATACATATATAAGCGCCGTGTGCTTTATTTTTTCTTCTACTTGTTTTTTTTTTACAGATAGATATAACTTTTTCTACGCCGACCCGTTTAGGAACTGAATAACGCAACTTCCATGCAACTGGTTCTTCGAAATTCGATGATACACCACGTGACGAGTTTCAGACGAACTATTAGGCTGATGCATAAGTAATGGCGTTTTTAACACCTAACATAATGGGTAAAAAAACGCCATGAACCTAATAATTAGGTCCCTTTGACATTTTCATTTTTATAATTCGTAGGAGTCGCTTGAGAATTTGTAAGGACATCGTGATGAGATCAGTATTAATAAGGCCAGTAGGCCTCTCTGAGAATTAGTAAAGGTTGTATATAGACGGTTTCTCAAAATAAATAATGATTCTATGTCGCACGTGAATGGTGAATCTTGATGGCGATATCGTATATGTGTGAGGGAGATACATACATAAGCTTGGGAACCAAACTCTTTGAAGAATTGTGAAAGAGTCTGTTATCGTGCTTTTTAGTATGTCTGTACAAAATATCAATGTCAGAGGTCGGTGATTAATTTTAGATTTTATCCGTTTCCTCGTGGCTCGCGGCAACGAGGTTAACGTTGGGGTCCTTTTCGAAAAATCTTTGATTTGCGGTTAAGATCGTATGATATAAAAGGTTTATTAAAAAAATATATATATATATTTCAATGTGCTCACGCACTTGAACCTGTTAAATGTACGTGCGCGATTCCATGGCTCGTCATTGCTCGTTATTGAGTGTCATGAGGTGCACTTTCAATGAATAACTTCTTACGGTACATGATCTCGCTGAAAATAATTTATCTGAAATTTATCGCACAATTTTCCAGTCGAAGTTTTATGCAGTGGAAATGTCGTAAACGTAACTTCTCGACCCTCTGCGAATAAAGTGTTGCGAGTCCCGTTCTCTTTATTATCAGTAATGATTCATCTAGGTTTTATCATCGTCCTGAATCATTTAACATTCGCCAAAGTTTCCCCAAATGGGAAGAAGATGATGGAGAGTGTTAATTATCATTACGGAATTAGCGAAATCGTGCACGGATTGTCTGTACGTAACTATTAATTACATATTTTGCAATGTTACATTTGACAAATCATATAATTCGTACATGGACACGTGTTCAAGATAATTGCAAACTATATTTAGGATATATCAAAATCAATTTGGCGTGGAGTAGGCAGTAATTATTTAAAAACAATATATGTATACTAGGAGTTAAATATTTAATGAAGTAGAGTGGAGTACTCTCGAATTTCAACGTACGCTCTGAAGCACTTAATTTAAAGATATATATAGAAAAATTGTGATTATTAATTTTTGCACAGGAACCGATTAAAGGCACCTAATTGAAGCGTTATTTTTGCATGAGATTTAATATATGAGAGTTGGTGATATGGTATATCTCCCCGGAAATGATTCACGTGAACCTTGAATTGTATTTCCGAGCGCAGGCGAATATTTTAACTAAACGCTTAATCGCCAGGATAATCGCCGTTTAATTAATAACCATACATTTCTCAGCCATTCAATTACCGGATATTGTGAAAAATATATTTAGGACTTGATTGAAGATGTCATTTTTAACGCAATTATTCTCACAATCCATGTTCCTATATGAACATTAATAATCACTTGTCGCTTACATTGTCTGTTTAAATAGAAAATGGGTAAAATTGTAATACTAATTGGTACATCGGTTACAATATTTCCTTCCATATCATATTATCTTTTAGTGGAACCAGATGCACCATTAAGCGCGTACATTTCCTTGTCTGGAATAACCATAGGTAATTACTCTAAATTAATCTTAAGGCTCGACGAGTAAAAGCGGGGAAAGTAATTGACACCTCCGATTTTCCAGTGGCTCGTTACAGCGATCGTTGCGACACCTGGAACAATGCTTTGCCATTAATCACTGATTAGATGGTCATACGTGGAGTTTGATACAATAGAGGTACCGAGTACAATGGAGGTACCGATGCCAACATTAGCGATCGTTAAAGGACACGCGTAATGGTCACGCCATGACCGGTGACCTCTTTATTCTTCCTTCGTGCAGGCTCTCCACACTTGCGATCGTTTTGTCGATTTCTATCAGTCTGAATGCCAGGCGGGATGTGCAGTGATTAAAATAGAAATGCCAGGATTCGTCATGTATACGTGAAAATATCCCAGATTGACAAAGTGATGCTAAATTTGCATATAATTTGTCTTATAGTAGGTCATGAAACTAGTCACGAGAGTGTCGCTTATGAGTCCTCATTTGGAACACATATCTGCGGGACAGAATAACAAACCAAAAGTACTTAAATGTGAAATAAATTTAAGTACGTGCAATGTCTCAATGTTTGTACGCATATGTGCAACTAAATTTATTGTGGAACATGCGTATACATATTTGCAGGACAGAATGATAAATCAAAAATACTTAAATATGAAATAAATTTAAGTACATGCAATGTCTCAATGTTTGTACGCACATGTGCAGCTAAATTTATTGCGGAACATGCGTATACATATTGCAGACATTCCATATTTGCAGGACAGAATGACGAACCAAAAGTACTTAAATATGAAACAAATTTAAGTACATGCAATGTCTCAATGTTTGTAAGAAAAGTTTAATGTAAGTTACTCCGTGATTTATGATGTATTCATTGTGTACTAAGCGACGATATTCTTAAATGGGTTGAATTAAGAATACGTGTACAGAGTATGTAGCAGTATGTAGCGTAGATTTCTTGGAAAGGTGACGATGCTGAGCGTCATTGGAATTTCACCTGACCTCGCCACTACCAAGTCACGTTAGAAAGATGTTTAAACCTGGGTAGAAATATTGGGGAAGTCCACGAAATTGTATCACTCTGAATTTTAGATTTTCTTATGTGAGATATTAACCCACCAAGCACTCTAACATAGCTACGTAAAGCTGAAACAATATCCGTAACAATGTAATGAGCTCTCTACTTCTCCACCCAACGCATGTAACGAATGGGAAAAGAGAGCGAAAGAATTGTACTCGACATCCTGTAAATCTACATGGTGTACTTGTTCATATGATTGCACTTAAGGGGATGTAAAAATGGCACCCGAGAGCTCAATCGTTCATGAAACTTTTTTACAAAACGGGTGCACCTAATCGTTTCGAACTTCACAATGCTAACATGGAGGCTATAAGGAAGGTCCTGACCTTCTTGAAATTTCATTTTTTTTAATAACAAATTTTGAAAATACGAACAAATCGAAAGAAAAATTGAAGTCTCACGAGTGTCAGGACCTTCCTTCTAATCTCCATACTCACGTTCTAAAGTTTAAAACGATTCGGTAAATCCAGTTAGGAGAAAAGTGTTTTATATAGAATACCACAACGCCACTTTAACATCGCCTTAAGAAGGTTACTAGGACCTTAATGAACAGGGAAAGTGAAAGAGAGACGCGTAAAAGTCATGGAACTACCTTTACCTTGAATTGGCAGTTCCACGAATGTTTAAACTGGGAAAATTGTCGCCTAGCGAGGCAATATCTCTCCTTTATAAGCGAATAAGAAGAAAAAAGAAAAATGGAGGAAACCGAAGCGCGGCGGTCGGCCTTAGCCCAGAATTTTTAAGAGGCCCGCTATGGTGGGGAATGCCAGAGGAGAAATGGATATTCGTGAAGCAGAACGATCCACCAGGCCGTGTCGAAATTCCCCACACGTATGGAACAGTTTGCCGATCCGTTGACGTCACTTCTTCGAGGTCGTTAAGGAAGAAGGGATTGCCTACTCTTTATATGTAAATCCCAGGTAAATGTTCCCGGAAACTGCACCAGGATAATGAAGATATAATGCCCATTGATTGAATGTTTGTACTTTCAGGGCCTTTGGATATCCAGCCTGGCATAAGAAGAGGAAGACACTTCCATGAGGAATTTTGTCGGGTTCTTCCATAAGTTAGTACTAAGTTAGAACTAATTACCTTTGCAGCGAATCTTTGTTTGGAGGTGATTACGCGTTTAAGGGGTCTCCTTTATGAAACTTTTCTCGGATTTTATCAGACAACCCGATGCTAGAAATCCTGATATGTGGCTACGGCTCAGCCCTGGGGAATCCAGAAAACGGGGACCATGCAAACCGTTCGTTCACTTGAAAAAACTGGTTGCAGAAGAGACCTGGTAAGTCCCTGACGTTTGCTTTCCTGCAAATGAGATATACATTTCTTAAGAAATTACGGGAATTTATCAGACAACCCGATGCTAGAAATTCTGATACGTGGCTACGGCTCAGCTCTGGGGAATCTAGAAAATGGGGACCATGCAAATCGTTCGTTCACTTGAGAAAACTGGTTGCAGGAGAGACCTGGTAAGTCCCTGACGTTTGCTTTTCTGCAAATGATATATACATTTCTTAAGAAATTACGGGAATTTATCAGACAACCCGATGCTAGAAATCCTGATACGTGGCTCCGACTCAGCCCTGGGGAATCCAGAAAATGGGGACCATGCAAACCGTTCGTTCACCTGAGACAACTGGTTGCAGAAGAGATCTGGTAAGTCCCTGACGTGCCTGAGGTTTTTTTTCCTGCAAATGATATATACATTTCTTAAGAAATTACGGGATTTTATCAGACAACCCGATGCTTGAAATCCTGATACGTGGCTCTGGCTCAGCCCTGGGGAATCCAGAAAACGGGGATCATGCAAACCGTTCGTTCACTTGAGAAAACTGGTTGCAGAAGAAACCTGGTAAGTCCTTGACGTTTTCCTGCAAATGAGATATACATTTCTTAAGGAATTACGGGATTTTATCAGACAACCCGATGCGAGAAATCCTGATACGTGGCTCTGGCTCAGCCCTGGGGAATCCAGAAAACGGGGATCATGCAAACCGTTCGTTCACTTGAGAAAACTGGTTGCAGAAGAGACCTGGTAAGTCCCTGACGTGCCTGAAGTGGGGAGAGGAGGTTTATCAGTCGGAGGAGGGATATACTTGGTGTACATCGGTGTGTTACAGGGTCGAGAGTTCTTACCAGGGTCGCGTTAATCGCTCAGTCTCTCTCGCAGTGGCCGATACCCTCCTCTAACAGTTTCGATCTCAGCACAGTGGTGAGTGAATTCTTCCTCCTTTCCTGTTAACGTAAAAAACTATTTACATACTGTTCTACGCGTCCTTAGCCATCTTAGATAATGCGTTTACTTGTTCCTGAGAAATTGTAATCCTTGACTGTGGTATATTTGTGCCCATAATTATGAAAGTGGTCTAAGTCATGTATTTTTTGTTTCGAAATTACATTGAATTCATTTAGTTTGAAATAATGTGGCGTGAAATAACTGATAAACTCATTTTTTTTTTCAATTTTGACTTAGACCACTTTCATAATTATGGGCACATTTATCGAGGAGTGCTCTTTGTGAAGTTACTCTCTCAGTTTAAACGTTGAGGGCCAGTAATTTATTTTTCATCACTATGATCCATTTTTTAAAGTGTTTATGTGATCGTGGGAAATTGTAATCCTTGCTTCAGTTATATTTATAAAAGAGTGCTCTTTGTTAAGCTACTCTCTCAGATCAGCTGTAGATGGTCGGTAATTTATTTTCCATCACTATGATCCATTTTTTCAAATGATATGCACAATTCTTAATGTCTTTAGTCCTCTCGTTCTTACACATAGGATTTACCTAATTCTGCGAGATTACAATCATTAACGGAATTATTTATTAAACAGCGTTGTGGAGCTATTCTCTCATCTTGAGGTCTCCCTATGTGGTGCGTGACTTATCCTTATCCACTTATACAGTGATACATTTTCAATTTTTTATAAGAACCGACATTTTACGGGGCAAGACTTTTCGTAAGGCCTTCATGTTCACGTTGCAAGATTTCAAACAATTCGGTACAGCACTTCTGTGTCGCCTTAATATTCGTTAATTTCACGTTACATTAGTTCTTCTTACATTAGTTTTACTTACATTACTTACATTAGTTTACTTACATTGGCTTTACTTACATTAGTTTACTTACATTGGCTTTACATACATTAGCTTTACTTACATTAGCTTTACTTACATTAGTTTTACTTATATTAGTTTTACTTAAATTAGTTTTACTTACATTAGTTTTACTTACATTAGTTTTACATACATTAGTTTCACTTACATTAGTTTTACAGATGAATTTCATGTTCCCAGTTACATTAGTTTTTCTTGGATGGAACAGAAAAAGTGGGTTACAGAGGATTAAACTGTTCATGTTTTCTTCCTAAGTATATTCTGTGCAGGTAATACGCGGGTTTCAGTCCTTAGTAAGTCTGGACGAATCGCCGAGGGGTACATTTAATTGACGGTGATCTCATCGGCTGAGCTCGAAATCACTATCGCGTGCTGAGTAGACACATTGAAAAAGAGAAAAACAAAGTAAAAGCGTCAAAATCCAAACAGCCTATTAGGTTTTGCAACATAAAGCGTCACTGAGAAATTCGCAAGTATCAATGGTTGTGCATAGTTTTTCAGATAGGACGAGGAAAACTCTACTTTCCTTCAGGGAAGTCCATTGAAACATTTTATATATCATTACATTGATAAGCACTGAACGGGTTAGATTTTGAAATAGGATGTCGTACATAGCGCTGACCTTAAATATGTAAACATAAACGGGCACATTAGCTAACGTAATATTTTCTGCCATTATGAATTATTTAACCGTTTGCCCATAAGGAAGCGTTTTGAGGATACAATAAAAAAGGAAAAGAAATGTTGCTCGACTCCTTTCTCCTCGAGTTCATTAAGGCGATGTTTATGCAATCATTTGAAGAGAATCATGACACGGTAATTACACCATGTATGATGTGCAATCGCGAATCATTTTTTATGATTTTTTAACGGTTAAGTAATTACATTATACATGGCTTAATGTTTATTCAATGGATGTGCGTGTGCGTGAAAATTACAACGGCGCTTTTATTGGCAATTTGCTTTGTTTCGAGATTGTTTAAATCATTCGCATGTTGATTTCATGCAGATTTGGCCAGTCTCTCAGGACGTGTCATGGATTTTGAGGAAAAATCCCGCCGAGAAATTATCCTGAAGCAATCTTCCAATATTCTTCTCAAGGCTATTTAAAGTGCGATTAACATGCTACTTTTCCTTCAGGGAGAATTGTTATCACAGTCATTGATAGCAGTAGAAATTCCCAGTTTTCGGCTGGGCCTAGGGAAAAAATTAAATATTAAAATACGGTTTAGGCGTTATTAACCACTCTTTTAGGTATACATTAGTAGTTATGTACTTCACGTTATTAGAATGCTAAGAGGAAGATACGCTTCTGTATTTAGTCTCCGTGTTTGCGCAAAGTGACGTGTGCACGTCATCGATAATAATTCCTCGCAAGTATTCGACGAGTCTCGCGATACATCATTTTTCTTTTTCTCTTTTTTTTTTCTCCTCTCTACAAAAATACCAAACAATTATCCGATAATATTTCTCATCTATAAGTGTGACACGTGATACGGAAAATTTGCAAATGACTTCTACATTGTAAATTTGCAAGTAATTATTAGGGACTCTGTTTTTACACGTTAGTGTTGTAATTAATTTTAAGCGACACTGTTTCTCTTTATTCTTAACGAAGGCGATGTTCATCTAGCTTCCCCAATTATTTCATTCGATCGGGGAAGGCTCGTTAATACTTCTTAGGCTGTGGAAAAGAGAAAATTAATTATTGTTTGCACATTCATTAATGCGAAGATGATCAGAGCCGAGTTACGTCAGTCCGAGATGTTTGCATCTAGTCAGGAACACATCTAACTATTGACATTGACTAAGAGAATTGCTCTTCTGTTGAATATTAGTTTTGGAGTCATATGCTGCGGTGTAAATCATTTTATGATACGCAGTTGTGTATATTAGATGTCTTGTTCAAGGTTTGAACAAGTTTCCGTACACCTGTGTAGCTGGACCAAATTGTGTTTTTGTCATCGATTCCGGCATTATATTTGGTGATCGTATTGCACCATGATTCGGAATAATATCCTCGTTATTCATGTCTCGAGTGGAATCATTTTTGCTCACCTGATCTGTACTCATTGTATGTCTAGTTTGAACAGGCTCTTTTTCTCCCCTTTGCGTAATTTTGCATATCATTTTCTTATCTCACATATGCCCAGACTGATCCTCTCGAGTATGTTAATGAATCTTCCTTATAGCCGATTAGTACCTTCTTCATAAAGATCCAAGCTTGTCGAAGATTCAGCTGAAGTAGAGGCAATTCTTAAAATACGTATAAACAAATCTTAAAAAATTGAAATTTCATGGGTGTCGGGACCTTTCATATAGCATTGACATTAACATTGTAAAGTTTGAAATGATTCCGTGTACCCAGTTCGTCAGGAAAATTTCCTAAAATTATATATATACAAACACACACATATATGTTTTATATATGTTGTCATATATGTTTTAAAATATTAGAAAACTTTCCAAACTGGGTGCACCGAATCATTTGAAACTTCTGCACGTGATTATAGAGGCCGTAAGAGGAGAACGGTGATACCGGTGAAATTTGATTTTTCAACAAAAAATATTAATTTATCCCAGATTAGAACGAAGATTACGTTTTCTTGTGAAAAATGAGATGTCATAAGTATATCGCGTTCTTCCTCAGGGCCACCATAATCACGTATCGAAGTTTCAAATGACGTCGATGCTCCCAGTTCGGGGAAAAGTTTAATAAATATATCAACGTACCCTTTCATACGTGCCCATAATTATGAAAGTGGTCTAAGTCAAAATTAAAAAAAAAAAAAATGAGTTTATCAGTTATTTCACGCCATATTATTTCAAACGAAATTAATTCAATGTAATTTCGAAACAAAAAATATATGACTTAGGCCACTTTCATAATTATGGGCACATATCTCCTTAAATCTTCTAAAACGTTTGGAATTTTGTTTCAGCTCGAGGAAGAAGATGTTGGCTCTAAAAGCCCTGACGATTGGACTTTTGGTCAGCCTGAGTCTCGCTGCTCCACAAGGTGACTTGGATAGTCTGATTTCGGATGTTTTTAACACTGGACAGCCTGGACAAGCTGGACAGCCTGGACAGCCTGGAAAATCTGGACAACCTGGACAACCTGGACAATTTGGACAAAACGGTATACTTGACAATGCTGCAGGTGTTGCGGAAGTCACCCCAACAAGCGTACCTGGGACCATCTTGGGCTCGCAGAATCAGAAGAACCAGGGCCAGGATAGTTGCGAATGCGTTCCCTACTATCAGTGCCAAAACGGCAGCATCCTGGACAACGGGATTGGCATAATCGACATCAGGTCCGGTTTTGGTGATAGCTCCTCGGAATCTCCACGGTGAGTCTCTCCCAAGAGGTCTCTGCCAAGATTGCTGGCCGGGAACCGCACCGTAATCATTTCCGCACTCCCATGGCATGTCTTGAATAGCTCCGATAAGATACCAACGTCCATCGCATGTATACACGAACTGACTCCTTGACATGTCAGCCGAATGCCGCAAGTGGATGCCTGGAAATCGAAAATTATATTCGACCGTGGCCTTCTCTCCTCCCGGGTATGATTTGATGTAATCATTTGAATGCCAAGCATGAGACCGTCCTTGGGTGATTCTCCTAACTCGTGGAAAAGCATGAATATATATATTTATTTTTTTTTCTCCTGGGTGTCGGGAGATACGCGATTGGATTGGAGTACGTGAATCTATTCTTCTTTCTTTAAATTCATTCCTCGACGTAAATCATACTCATGCTTCTCGAAATTTTATGTCCATTGCGCGGCAATTGAGATGAAGTTAGAATTCCATTGTCTTATTATTTATCAAACGCATTTCACGATCTACTACCTGGCTCAACAAAAAAATCTATCCTTTGCATAGATTTTCTAGTAGTTGTATACTTTCCAATCCGCATATCTCTCGGCAGCACTTTGCTTATTTAATATTAATTATGCAACCGAACCTCTGTTGAAAATCTCGCCGGAGGTGTGCTGCAGGGAATTTAATAATGATTCCCTGATAGTTTGTTAAATGTTAAATGTATGAACATTATTATATTCAAATGGCTCTAAAATCTAGCGAATGTTGCGATGCGTCTCGTGGGAGAGTCGATGAATCTAATGAATCCTTGGTCCTTCTTCCTTCGGGATATTTGGTCCTGCGTCGCCTCTGAAGGGTCATCCTCGCTCTCGCATTGTTTAGATTTTCTCAAGAGCAGGACGGGGGTGTGACGTAGCCTAGAAGAGAAAGAAAGCGCCTTAAGTACCAAATTTATTTCTGGTCTGTAGATGAATATAAACTAAGGAGAAAATGAAGGGATATATGTGCCCATAATTATGAAAGTGGTCTAAGTCAAAATTGAAAAAAAAGTGAGTTTATCAGTTATTTCACGCCATATTATTTCAAACGAAATTAATTCAATGTAATTTCGAAACAAAAAATATAATGACTTAGACCACTTTCATAATTATGGGCACATATGATCGCTCTTCCTGGCGAGATTTTCCCCGGGGCCGAGCTTCGGAGTTGATGTCTTTGTTTTAACAGTCTGTCGAAATTTCAGGATACAGGGAGCTTGCGACAATTATTTAGACATTTGTTGTAAGGCTCCGGATCTATCGGATGTCAAGATCACCCCTAAGCCGAATGTGCGGAAGGGTTGCGGCCAAAGGAATCCTGACGGCGTTGGCTTCAGGATCACTGGACAGACCGACAACGAGGCTCAATTCGGGGAGTTCCCGTGGATGGTGGCAATCCTGAGGGAGGAAGTCATCGGGAACAACGCCCAGAAGTTGAACGTCTACCAATGTGGAGGAGCGTTGATTCATACGAGAGTCGTCCTTACGGCTGCTCACTGCGTTAATGGGTTAGTTGCGCCAGGGCTTTGTAATCTCTGAGGAGACCGCCTGAGAACAAACAATAATCGTAACTTGAAACGATCAGCTCTTGGACGTCGTATTTTTGGTACAGTATGAATCACGCTGCCGTATTTACGGCTGCTCGCTGTGTTAAGGCGATATGAAAGGGCTATTACATATATTACTTTTCATTAACCTGGGTGCACCGAATCGTTGAAAGCGCTTAAGCAGGTGTCAGGACCTTCCTTACAGCCTCCATGTTCACGTAGTGAAGTTTGAAAGGATTCGGCACACCCAGTTCGATGAAAAGTTTCATGAACGATTGACTCTTCGGATGCCACTTTCACATCCCCTTAATATCCCAAGTATTTTATCAATTAAGATCGCTTGTAACGGGAGAGGCGTGTCTTTAATGTGGCCGTGGAATTGTACAAACCATTTGCGATGAATTGTGGCAATGCTTGTTCAAGGTGGTGGGTAATCGGCCACAAGATTCATGAGAATCTGCAATTTCGAGAAAGCTTGACCCTGAATCCTCTTTATTGTTTAACAAATACCTCCGTTGTGGGAAAATTCAGTTTCGCGAGTTGAAGATTCCTGTGAATTTTGTAAGAGGCTTGATGTTAGATTGCGTGTCTTTCTTTTAATGTAAGCGATCAAAATGAAATTACTGTCGATTGTCATACGTAATGCGGTCGTAGGAAAGAGGCTTCGCAGTTAAAGGTCCGTGCAGGTGAATGGGACACGCAGACCAAGAACGAGATCTTCCCTCACCAGGATCGCGACGTGGAGAGGATCATCGTCCACGAGAAGTTCCACTCCGGTGCTCTCTTCAACGATGTCGCTCTTCTCATCCTTTCTCAGCCCGTGGAGCTTGCTGAGAACGTAGATGTCGTCTGTCTGCCTGATACAGGGGCCGTCTTCGATGGATCTCGTTGCTACGCCAGTGGATGGGGCAAAGACGTTTTTGGTAATTTTTTTTCAAACGTTAATATCATCGACAATGCCTTCTTCCTCCTGATAACGAGTGTCATTAGAAAAACCTCGACAGCATACATGGAAAAATAATCCACATAGTATGTAACATGTAATAATTCCCATAATATATAATATCGTAGCAACTATTTTAAATTAACGTTAAATTTAATAATCGGTACGACTTTGTAAAGGATCCTTTTCGCGAGATAAATATTGATATATAATTACAGGTCATTACCAGGTGATCCTGAAGAGGGTGGATCTTCCCGTAGTCCCTTCGTGTAAACGATCCTTTTCGCGAGATTAATATTGATATATAATTACAGGAAAGGAGGGTCATTACCAGGTGATCCTGAAGAGGGTGGATCTTCCCGTAGTCCCCCATGACACGTGTCAAAATTCCCTTCGGCAAACTCGCCTTGGAAAGTACTTCATCTTGGACAGGAGTTTCATCTGTGCCGGTGGTGAATCCGGGAAGGACACTTGCAAGGTTCGCAAACCAATAATTCTGAACGCTTTAATTAAGGTGACATGAAGGTCCCGAAACTCATGAAATTTCATATTGAAAAAATTTCTTCATAGACATATTATTAAAATTATTTATAAAATATGAAATTTCATGAGTGTCAGGACCTTATAGCCTGCATATTTGTATCGTGATGTTTGAATAGAGTTAGTACATCCAGTTTGGAGGAAAGTATCACGAATGGGAGCTCTTTGACGTTATTTTCACATCACCTTAAGATGTTACGATACTCCTGAACCTTTGGATAAATGGAAATTCACTTTTCTCTTGATTTTTAGGGTGACGGAGGTAGTCCTTTGGTGTGTCCTCTCAGCAACGATCCCAGCCGATACGTGCAAGCAGGAATCGTCGCCTGGGGAATCGGCTGCGGCGAAAATCAGACTCCAGGAGTTTACGCGAATATCGCTCTTGCCCGACAATGGATCGACGAGCAGATGGTCTTCAACAAACTGGACATCTCTTCTTACCAGTACAACTCTCAAGTCTAGGCTAGCCGAGCTGTGTATTACGATGGCTTCGAATAGAATAATATTTTCGAGAGCTTTCTTGGTCTCTTGGAAATCTTCTTTATGTACCTCGAAGTCGACGCTCTTCAGCTCTTGACGCCGAAAATATCAAAATTTTAACATTTAAGGTGATATGAAAGTGAGATCCGAGGAGTCAATCGTTTATGAGACTTTTCATCGAATTGGGTGTACCGAATTGTTTGACATTTTACCACTTCAATGTGGAGACTCTAAGGATGGTCCCGAGATTCGAGAGATTACATTTTTAACGAAATATTACAAGAATACTGATAAGTGAATTTTAAAAGAATGAAATTTCCCGGGTGTTTGGAGCTCCCTTAGGGTCTTCATATTCATGTGGTAAGATTTCAAATTATTGCGTCATCAGTTTGGAACTTCTTAAGCAAGACTCTTCGGATGCCAGTTTCGTATCGTCTTAAGGTCTTCACTGATATCTCACGTAAGCGTAAAGATAAGAACAACGGTAAGAACTGATGAATAAAATTGGGGAAAATTGAGTTTGCCGTCGATGTTAGACATTTTGACTGGCCAATTCTTCCTGTCATGCTTACGTTCACTGTTTTATCAGGTATCTGTGAATGCTTTTTCGTTCAGGGTGTTGCTACGAAGGACGATTCTTGCAAACATTGTTGCTTAAAGAGGTTTAAGGCTGTTTAAATCGAATGGCCACTTCTCCCATTAGGTGCTGTTCTAGGTTCCTTTATTTCTTTTTGTTTTCTTTTCCTAGAAATGTAGACACAATTTAATACCTCTCGTCTTGGAGCCTGGCTCTATGATGTTTTTTTCCATTGTCAAATTGTTAACGTTTGCGAGAGGATAATGGAGTATCGAAAAATCTCCTCAATCTTGTCCTGTTTCTGTATTCCATGTAAAATAGCCGATTAATTTTGGTTTCGGTTATTTATTGTCCTCGTGATATCAGTTTCCAACGAGTTATGTCGACGTCTTGAATTCTTTTTTGTAAGATCTAGTCAATGGAATTAGACCATTAAATTCGTGGGTTGCAAATGGACTTAGAATAGTGACGGTTAGATAATAATCAAGGTACAAATTGGAAGCATCACTTTGACGATAAGACGTTTCGAAATATATTCGTTCTACCCTGTGTCATATAATCCTTATTATTTATCTTATTCAGTAAAATAACTGTTTTTCTATTCGTACCTATCTACCCCGATCCCATCCTTATCCATCTAAAAATATGCGTGAAACAATAAATTTTTCTTTAACGATATATTTAGACTTTGATAATACATAATAGAACATATATCTCTATCATATTTCGTTCTCACAATTGTAATTCTTAAACACCATAGCGTTGTCGTTTCCTTATCATCTTTTCATATAAATGAAAATTCATATACAACTGCAAACGTATTTAATATATCGTTAAATATTCATCGGTTAGTTTCGATATGAAACATTTAATGTCTTAATTTAGATAATTCAGTTTTTACGGATGGGCAAATTTTTCCAGATTTTTCAGATAGTATTTTTAGACCTTGCTTCAAAATGTTATGTAACAAAGAATAACAATGATGTTATAAAAAAAACCATTTACAGTAGAGTCAAACTGCAATTACTGAACTAGTTTTGGTAGATAATATCTCATTCACAACTATTACATTCATTAATGAAACTATAAAATTTTTTGGAAAAACAGCTTGAAGATTGTCCGTTTATTAATATTTAAATTATTGGACATCGATGATATGATGTGGCAAACCCAGACATTCAATATCTTTCTGGAAATTAATGTATAACGTAAAAATTGTTCCAGGATAAGTCGTGGGACCTGAAGAAATGTTCACCTTCGTTTTCGAGCACAGAAAAAAAAAGTTCCGAACCTACCGAGTCCGGTTTGTATATTATTTTTGTCTCCTTTCATCACGGCACGTCCGACAAGGGCCAATTTACGACCATAACATTAGCCTCCATTACCAGACGCGTTCTTATCTCCTAAACCCCTTCTAAAAATAATTGCATAAGAATTTTCTTCACAGTTTTCCCAGTCGTTCCATATCTCCTTCGAATGCTTTGATTTTCTCATCGTTAATCCTCCAATGGTGCCAACCCTCGAAACAAACATGGCGTCCAAATCAGTTTCCTTCCCGCCCGACCTCGCACTTTTCCTATCGATAATTCGATCGCTAGGAATAAATCCACGCGCCCACCGTGTTAAGAAATTAAGAATCCTTACATTTTAACCGCCAAAGAGATTAATTATCCCTCCAACAAACGTTAATATCAGGCTATTAATAAGCGTTATCTGTCTTTCCGTTGGCCAGCCTGAGAACGTTCGAGAATCGACCTGAAGCAACTTGAATCGTTCCGCGGTTCTCGAAAACGTGATGTTGAGCGACGCGCCCGAAGAGATTTTATTCATCTCGGCAATGTAAACACAGGAGACAAGTCTTTTAGCAGGTTCTAACAGCGAGGGAGGTTACTTTCAGCGTGTACGTTTAGAGTTTTAAAGTAAGGGCCGAAGGAAGATCAGATTTTCGGGCGATTCAAGAGCTGCGACTCGATAGTTGCAGTCGGGATATCTGGAGCGACGCACGTGTCCCATTGTTCTTGGTGAGCGTTTCTGACATTTCATTGTTCTAAGCTCGCTTGACCGTTTTCCTTTTTTTTTCTCCTTTTTTTTTATTCTTACCGGTGGTTCTGCCGATTCGCGGAGAGGAGAAAACATGCGCAAAATAACAGGTATTTCATGTTTCCTCGAGGTCTTACCCAGTTGTACGTAAAACGGCGTAAAACGGTGGTTGGAAAACCGCGTGGAGGTTCAAGTGGCCAGGCGAAGTTTCGGATTGAGCTTTGCCTCGGGAATTCCAATGGAGTGTATATCTTAGTACCCTTCTGTCCGCCCTACGTGAAGGACTTTACTCTCCTGAGGGTGAACGGAAAATTATTCCAGTACAAAGGACATGCTCAGAAAAATGTTCCCAGAGTATGTAACCGTTTATCAGTGGGTTCTTTTAACTGCAACTTTTGTCTGCGTATGTTTATCAGTGGACTCTTTTAACTACAACTTTTGTCTGCGTATATCAGCTGATCGCATTTTTTTTTCTTTTTTTTTAAATTCTTTTTGTGCCTTGCATTGGTTGACAATTGGTTTTTATGGGATTAATTGAATTCTCAAGTTAATTACGTTAAAACTCTCACTCTTGCATTTATGTCTTGATCACATTATGTATATTGCCTTATTTCGGTTAATAATTGGTTTTAACATGATTAGCTGAATTTTCATGGTAATTATATTAATTAAAACTTGGAATATGTAAGCTGATCGTATTTTATGATTTTTTTTTAAATCTTTACATTGGTTAACAATTGGTTTTCATGCAATTCGCTAAATTTTTATATTAGCTAAGTATATCGAAGTGGAATTAGAATAAAGAATTCGTTAATGCATTGCAAATTAAAAACTCCAAGCATTTCATCTTTAATTATTCTTTTAGGTTTGGAAATGTAATCAGTAAAAAATTTCATGTCGATTAAGGGAATCACTTGATGGTCAGAGAAGGTAAATATATTTTTTAATTTGGATCAAGATAAACCTGATGAAACGATGTATGTAGGTGGATTTTTTTTAAGAGAATTATTCGATAAGATATGAATTAATCATATCATCGCTTTCCTTTCTTACATTAAACTTTACAAATTATTAGGATAACAGGTAGTTTTACATTGTTCCATTAAAAAATTTGTTTCATTAAGATAATTTTCATACTTTAAGAATGTTATACCTTTATCTTCAAACAATTTTAATTTTTAAGTAGGTTAATGGTTTTATTTGGAGTGTACGTTATTATAAAATGTGCTGGAGATCACTGAATCAATTAGCGAATATGTGTAGCCTGGTAAAGAATGGTAGGAAGTATATAAAAAGGAAGTCATGTGGAGGATGACTAAAATTGCTGTAAGATGTCAAAAACATCGATTATCAAAGTTTGGCAATAGAAACATTGCAAATACATATACGAAGTCACGTAAATTGTGTTACTATAGACGGAGATATATTATATTTTCTGTATGTCATAGTATAGAAATTTTTTTCAGAATCTTTGATCAAGTAGTTAAAATTATTTCAAGATACTATTAATGCTGTGTTATTTTCTCCTTTCGAAATTAGAATTCTCAATCTAAACTTACTATGGAATTATTTTTGCTATGGGAATTTTAAGATAAAAAATTAAGTTATTCATCAAGCAGGAATATTATGAGCAGACAGAAAATTTATATCAAAGCATAAAGCATTTAACATTTATTTAACTGTGCGTTATTAATTCTCTGTCTTCTTAAAGTCAAAAGTTTAGATACAATCGATGCCAGTGAAACTTTTCAACTATAAAGGAAGATATGGTTTCTCATCGGAAGAGCAGATCTGGGAGGCGTAACAGAACAGGAGGAAGAAATATTAATAACACACATAATAAGGAAATATTAAAAAACAAACAGTGCTCAAATGAAGATATTTTAAAAAAGTATTCATCGATCTTAGGATCAAAAATACCAGTCGTTGTACTGCATAAAATTATTAATACGAAACAATCCTCTCAACAACAGCCAGCAACTGAAAAGATCAACAATAGCGATGCTAGCTCTTCGTGTGTAATCGAAGATGGAACAAAGAACAATAATTGCAGTCGATTAAACTTGGCTGACAATTTTTCAATTGATTTAGTTGATCAAAATAACTCTGCAAAAGTGCACATTTCAGAAAGTGTAAAAAATGAGAATAAGTTAGGCACTCAACATGAGAAACGTACTATTGAAATTAAAGAACTGCAAAAGCATACCACCAATTTAGAATTTAACAAAGAGCATGTAAATGAGAAGAATTGTATTCAAAATACTTGTAACGATTCTTCATGTTCGGTTACTGCAAGCTCTCTCAAAGTAAAGGTATGCGCTGGTAAATTAGTGGATCGTAATCAAGTTGCTTACATTAATGAGCATGGAGAACAGCATCCAAATAATTTCCGCAACGTTGGCACTGAAAATGAATCGTTTGAAACGAGAAAGCAACTTGAAAAAGCAAGCAACTTAAACAATGTTATTCATTTAAATGACGTTGATAAAAAAGTAAAAGATTCTTCGATATTAGAAGCACCAAAGTATATTTTTAAAAATTTTCTTGAAGAATCTCTTGTAGTTGACAAAGTGAAGGAAAGTGAGAAACGTAGGAATGAAAGGAGAACACATCAATTTAATCAGTGTCAGCAACAACCACTCGATTCGCCATTCTTATTTAAAACATTAAAACCGTCATTATTCAAAACTTCCGTCAAACCTCACGATGGTGAGGTTTCAAAACTGAAACAAAGAAACCAAATAAGCGAAAGTAGTATTAAGAATACATTTGCTGACAAACGTTTACTAGATAAGTCTGACATACCTTCTAAGATATCAAGAAATGTGGTCAACGAATTTTGTGACAATAAAGATAAACCAAAGATAGGGTGTGCTGAAGAAAGTAATTTGAAAGAGCAAAAAGCAGAGCGATCATCGCTGAATTCGAAAGTGTCGAAGCATTCATTGAATACATCTGTTGACAGTGTTCTTGGTAAAGGTAAATATAAATACGAGCAAAAGAAGAACATCATAAAAGTGAGAGTAAATTTAAAACACAAAGTTGAATCTTCCACACCACCAAAAGAATCGAAACATGTTTTTGGGTCTACCGAGCACACATCAAGGCTTTCTACTTTACCTACATATTGTGGTACGTATAACGACTTTATTTTAATTGTACTTTTTAAAAACTATTATTTGAATGTTTGTTCTTTATTATTTCTCTTCAGATACAGTACTAAGTCAGGAAAATGTTGAAATGGAATCGAAGAAGGAATCAGTCAAGAGTTTTGTTTCTTTAAATCAGAGAGATAGTGATAATGAAACAGTATTACTTAACAATACAAAAAGTAGTGATAAGGATCCCAAATTTGGTATTTGTAATTTTACACATAATAGAACTGTTTTGGATATGTCAGACGTAGACACCAAAGTGCGACCGAAAGTCAATTCAAGATTTAGTAGAAGTAGGCAAATGGAGGATGGTGAAACTGTCGATCAGTGTACAAGTGCTTCAGATAAAGAAAGGATATCTAACGATGGATTAGATAAAGAATTAAGACTGGTACAGTCAAAAGCTTTGAAACCTGATAAATCAAACACATTAGAGCCCTTGAGTAGAGAGAATCCTTTAAGAGCAAATACAGATGAAAAGGATTATGACACAGAGAATATTGACGAAGATGTTTTGGAAATAACGTCAAACTCAGTGTTTCTTGATATGAATTTATCAAGTGAAGATTCGAACAATAACGAGGATTCGGCAGATAGTACCATTAAAATTATCGATCAGTTCCTAGGTGGATCCTATTCAGAGGAGGATACACTGAACAATAATAATACTAATAAACCTGCAGTAGAAAATAAAAATGATTTAAATTTGGGAGACAACAGTGATAGCAAGGATTTTGTCGACAATAAAATAAGGGTGGCTAAAAGTTCTGTATGTAGTACTTTAATTAACGAAAATAAGGTTGCGTGTGTAGAAGATATTTTGAAAAGCTTGGAAAAAGATCTTGAGGATAAAATAACTGCAGAGCAAAATAAACTCACAATTGTTTCGAAATCATTCAATAACGTTGCAAAATCACATCCGAGAAATTCAGTGCAAAATAGAAATGACGATCTTAAGTGTTCGTTTGAAAATCTTCAAGAGAACAAATTAAAGACGTCCACCGCTTCAAGTGAATTGACAATAGATAATTTAAATAAATTTAATAGCACATACGGAAACCATGAATTTTCTATTCTAACCAGTACAAATGGAGGAGTTAATGGAATTAATACTGGGAACGTGAGCGAGAAAGTGAACGAAGTTACAAGAAGTCAAGACGCAAGTGTAAGTACTGAGAAGACAAATTCGATTTCAAGTTCGCAGAAGCGTAAACGTATTCAGATGAAGGAAATCGAACCAAATTCCAAAAAAGTAAAGCTAAATCGAAACCATTGGTTAACTACCAGTGATAAAAATAAATCACCTAAAATTTCACCTGCTGACACTTCTAACGGTTCATTAAAATCTTATAGTGCTCACTCCGAATCTAGTAGCAATGAAAGAGCGAAAGATGTTTCTAGTGTTGGCAAATTTAAACATTCTAATATGGGAGCACAGTTTCATTTGACAAAATCAGTTTTGGTTGACCCAAATTCTAGCGGTCTGAATGTTAAAAAAACTGAAATAGGAGTCATTAATGATACGAATATGAAAATTCAAGATCAAGAGATGAAGCATATCACAATCGATGATAAATTACTGAATACTAATAAAATGAGTAAAACTTCTCTAGCGAATCCTTCTGCAGTTAATAGTAAGGATTCCAATCCCCAGAAAACACTCAGTGCGATTAATAAAAACGGTTGCTGTAAATCTTTAATGCATGATAAACTTGCTAAAGAGCACTCTAATGCAACGGCAGCAACCAGCTCTACTAAATTCAGGACCTCCAAGCTCTCTAATTTGTCCAACACGGTTAATTTGGTCAATTCCGAATCTTTGGAAACGATCAATAAGCTTAATAAGACCCATAATTTGTCAGCGACTTTCAATGTAAGTGATATAAAACTGCCAGCTACTCCAACTAGTATACAGTATTCCAACAGTTCGGTACAAAGCGACATGACAAGCAAAGATAGTTGCAATTTCTCGGAGACAATAAGTAGGATTCATAAAATAAGTATCTCTCAATCAGAAATAATTAATAAAACTTGTTTTAATCCAGTAGCAGTTGCAAATGTAGTTGATAAAATGGACTTTGAAGTTATGTTGTCAACGAACACAACCAGGAGAAAGGATTCCTGTCGGTCGAAATCAACCAATGATGACACCGATGTTATGTTGGTAACAAACATAGTTAAAGAACAAAATTCTTGTCGGACAAAATCTGATGATGACACCGAAGTCCTGTCGGTAACAAGCTCAATTAGCGAAAAGCATTTTAATCTGTCAAAAGCAACCGGTGATGCTACTGATGTCATATCGACAACATATTCGATTAGTGGAAAATATTCGAATCTGTCAAAAGTATCCGATGATGGTACCACTGTCATGTCACCAAAAAGCATAATAAGTGAAAAAGATCTTAATCCGTCAAAAGCTGTCAAGGATGCTCCCGATGTCATGTCAACAAAAAGCATAACTAGTGAAAAAGATTTAAAATTGTCAAATGCAAACAATGATAAGCCTGGAAGAAAATCAGCTTCACCCGTGGCATGTGGCACAGTTAATAAGAAACGCTTAATTTCACCAATAAATATTGGAGCCGATGATTGTGTGAAAGTTAATAAAGAGCTTCCAAGTCCAGCCGTACAAGTCAGTACAGACAATACAACGTTCCGCAAACCGTTTTCAAAGGTAGATGTGAGCAAAGAAAAATCTGATGTATCGATAAAAAGAAGTACAGGTAAAAAAGTGGTAATTGAAACAACTGTTCCTTCTGTTAAGTTGAATGTGGCGGAGAAACCATTCTGTGTGCCACAGAAAAAAACTAATACAGCTACTAACGTAACTACCGACCAAGCTGAAGATTCTGACGAAGATGACACAATTTCTTTGTTCGCTGGGTCGGAATTTGATTTTTTATCAAACGTGTAAGTACAATATCTTTAGGCGTATCGCGCAAAAAACGTAACCGCCCAGCTAGAAATTCATGATCATCGTATGAGAAAAATCGATTTACAAACAATATGCAGATTATTTGCTGCACGGAATGTCTACAATATATGTACCGTCTGTAATAAATTTAGAGTACAAACATTGAGACGTAGCATGTACTTAAATTTGTTTCATATTTAAGTACTTTTGGTTCGTCATTCCGTCCTGCAGACATGAGTTCCAAATGAGGACTCGTAAGCGACACCCTCATGACTTTTGTTACGTAAATCTGATGGAAATTTTGCATCGCTTTGTCTATTTGGGTGTGTCTCTTCTCCGTATATTTTGGGCAATGTGTAATGTTAACAGCGGTACATCATTCGTGCGTTTTCTTTCTTGCAGACCCGAGCCCGTGCAGAAGAATAAAGACGAGCCAGAAAGTAATTCTCTGACCTCGAATATATATAATAACAGGGTCATTAACAACTTCATGAAAAGTACAAAGAGGGAGTTTGAAAAGGACATGGAATCTTATGCGGAGAAGAATCTTGATTCGTATGACACGCTTTTCGAGAACAAGAGAAATCATCCGAACGCAAATGTAAAGCCAACCGTTCCGGTATTACATGAAGCTAATCAACATACAAGTGTTAAAATTGTACCGTCCACATCGTCGATTGACGATAGTTGCACAAGTCTGAGGCAAAGGTTGAACATCAGCGCCACTTCGAGTGAAGCTTCTGAAGCAATCTCTAATTATAGGCAGCCAACAAGTGCTAGATGCTCCGGTCGCTCAAGTGTATTTAATAGACTCGGTAAAAATTCTTTAAATCCGGAGAATGCAAATTCTAACACCGTGGCGCTAAAAATTCAAGATACTTTTCCGACATGTCCAGCAAATGTGGAAGCGTTATCATGTAATCGAGAGGGGATACGTCCCGAAATAGACGATTCACATATGGTACTTAAAGACCTCTTGAGAGGAACTTGCTGGACTTATCTAAAACGAAAACGATGCATGAAGTTGAATTGCACTCACAATCATGATGTAAGTATGACGCGAATTCTCCATTATCATTATAATCACGTGCTGAAGTTTCAAATGATTTTCTGTACCCAGTTTGAAGAAAGGTTTTATAAATATCTTCACGTATTGATATACATAGAATGACTCTTTCATATCATCTTAATGTACATAGGCTTCATAAAAATGAATTTGTGAGGATGATTTGAATCATGAAGTAGTCTAATCTTCAAGTGCAAGTTATACTTTTGGCTTCTCCTTTAACCGTAGATGTACACGGCAAAGAATATAATTCCAAGTGAGCATGAATATTCTTTATTAAAATTGTTCATTTCCATTTTTCCAGGTGAATATGGCGTTATCGAAACTGATCTACCTGGGGGAGGAGAAGATCATGAGTCTGTTGAGTGTGATCTATCAGTATTTCACCTTCTTTTATGCGCGGATGTATCCGTTTCTGACCAAACATTTCCAACCAGCTAACATTATCAAAGCATACTGGCATTACTATGAACGTAATTACATGCCGAGCTTTTACTTTGAATGTACGATTTTAGAGTTAGAAAAGAAAACGATGAAATTGGAGACCATCGTGGAGATGTTTATGAGAAGAGTGGCTGTTGACCCAGCGATGCCCGAAAAAATTATCCATTTCCTGATAAAGCGAATACCAGAAGGACAGATTTGGGAAACCTTGAAAGATGCGTTCAGACATCTGCAACATCCACCAAGGGAATGGGCCCAAGTAGTTATAAACGAATGCATTAACACGAAAAAGAGCTCGGAGCACTGCGTCGATGTATTTAATAATCTGATTGCCAAACTTACGCAACGCGACCTGGAGAATATAGGCTACCATTCGTCCAATTTTCACAATCTACTAAAGAACAAAAGTCAGTCTTTGGTCGGTAAGTGGTTGACTGAGAACAGCTTCAGACCAAACTGTGACGAGGATGGCATCGCCTCTCCTATTCAGGAAGAAAATGATCCGTGTGAGATTTTGAGCTTGTTTCAATCAGCTACGAGTCAGATACAAGAAAGAAATCCGACTACACAAAATGTGCCTGCTCAATTTCGACAAAACAGTACGCAGATTGGTAATCACAGGAGGCAAATTAACGAAGGAACTCGGCCATTAGATGGGCCTGAATATAGAGTACAAACTGTGGGTCAGTATCACAATCTCGCTCAACAATGAGCATGCATGATTTTTAGTTTATAGTTAGATTTATAAGCAACCATTTAGTTTATTACGTGACAGGATTACAGATCTCAGTTACCATTAGTAATAATAACGCGTTATCAACCCTGTTTACTGTTGACGATTCGTGTTCGGATCAGTGGTGTGGTTTATAAAACATTAAGGGGATGTGGCATGCAATCCTCAAAGGATTGAGGAATTCCAAAACCATCATAATATTCATTTACATGAAAATCCATCCATTTTTAAATGCTCCATGACTTTCAGTTGGGAATTTCTTTATATCAAATTCGGATTCAACCTGAATAATGAGTGAAAAAGCTTAATAATAAAATCACCGCGATTGCGATCAATTAAATCTCTAATAAGCCTTTGTTACAGATGCGCCGTATCCTAGCTCGATATTTCGAGGGAAATTCAGCGATCTACAGAAGGATATACAGAGCTTGAGAGATCGACTGAGACATAAAGACTACAAAGCGGTGACCAATTTATTAGCGAAATACGTAAATAAGCCTAACCGGACAGCCTTCGATAGAACCTGTTATCACTATTTGGAGAAAGAGAAGATCCGCTGTCAAGTTCTGCTATCTAACATCATCACTCACGCAGGTAACAGTCCTGAACAATGTTAACTTCTTGGCGTGCAGTGTAACCGATAGTGCGACACGTTGACCGAAGATCGATAAAAGTAGTGCTCGGTATTCAAGACGTACATGCGTATGTGCTTTTGTAGATACATGTACATTTTTACTGATATTATTAAGAGATAAGGTTTACAATTAAACAAGTAGTTTATTTTATACGCGCTGAGGCAGAATTTTTTAGAAGCAAAGCAGAAAAATTTTTAGATATGCCATCGGGGTACAATTCGCATCAGCCAGCATCAAATTGTACGAGGGCTGTTTTTCTTTCAATAAAGTTCTTCCATTAGTGACGCTTCCTTTGTTCTTATTTCCGGCTGGAACCTAATTATTTTCTTTACTTTGGACATTTCAGTCCGCATGGGGGTGATTGTACGTCTCCATAATACCTTATTCAGATTAGGGATGGGCCTCTTGACAAGTTTAGCTGATTCGGGATCATGGGTGCTTGCACATAAGCTGCTTTACACCATCGAAGCACATTTCCCTAGAGACTCGGCCTCGTTTGTTCTACTGTCGGCCCAAATCTACTTAGCTAATCGAAGACAACTGAAGGCGTTGTCCATTCTTAAAAGTGAGTTCTTTTTTTAATGTCTTTAACGTTTCAAGCCGGGGAAGAAATAGTTCGGTATTAGGCGAGTACTGACATGGAAACATTACCAAGTGTCCGCCCCCGCTCTTATTGATTTCCATATACGTTGAAGAACACAAAAATCTAAGAGACACGTGTTTTTTTTATATCTGCAATGGTCCACATTTAAGGGGTGAAACAGCCCCCCAAAGTTTGGCGAAAATTCAGTTTTTATAATAATTTTCGTAGAAGCAGTGGAGGGATTTCGACGAAAGTTGGTATAAATGTATTCCGTATAAGGACGGTGCAAGCACAATATTGTCCAGCAATGCTACACCCCCCCCAAGGGGGTGAACTACCCTTCAGGCGACATTTTTTTGTAATATCTAATAAACAAATATTCTTACTTAAGTAACCAGTCCCACTTACGCGATGTGATTGCTCACAAAAAATGAAGAAATACGTGTTTTTTGCTTTTTGCCAATAAACATTTATACATCGGTTGTAAACAATGAATGTAGGTGGTATACGAGTATATTCCGAGTAGCTTCATTGGGTTATATCGTGACAAATTCATTGTACATAAATCTTGTGAACGTACTAATTCTTCAAAATGTCGTTGGTTTATATTAATCGATTCTCGAAGTACCACAGGTTTTCTTTTTCGAAACCGCATCTTTCAGGAATTATATTTACCTTAGAATGAGTTAACGCCGTTCATGTATAGCATAAATCATTTTGCCGAGTACACTTTTCAAGATTAATTATCTTGTAGGCCGTAAAATGCTTCGAACTGACCGTAAACATTGGATGGTGGGCAGTACAAAGGACGATGAATTTCTGAGGGGAAAAACAGTAAGCTTACTGTTAAAAATGTTATGCGAAAACTTCGTCGACGAGGCGCTTTCAACCCTTGAATTTATTTTAGGTGATCAGTGTGACTTATACACGCCGATAGGTAAGAACAGCCATGCCTAGAACTTGCATTTTATAAAAACGACGTTTTGGACATTTTATTCGGATATAAAAAGTATTTTAATATTAAAGTAATATAAAAATGGCGTCAAAGAGGCCTCGTTAATGAGACTTTTCTCCAAACAGGGTGCACCGAATCGATTCAAACTTCACAATATAAATATGGAGGGTAAAAAGAAGAAGGTCCTGGGTCTTACGAAATTTCAATTTTTATTTTTTTTTCATTTTTAAGATTTCTTATAGACAATCAAATTTCACGAGTGCCAGGATCTTCCTTATAGCTTCCGTATTCACATTGTAAAGTTGGAAACGATTTGGTGCACCCAGTTCGGTGAAAAGTTTCATAAATGAAATCCCTTAGACGCCGCTTTCATACGACCTTAAAGTGCTAATTTGTTTGGAAATGTCGAGAAATTAATGTGAAGGTTTTTTCGGAAGGTAATGGAAGAATTTCATGGCATGTCTTTTTACGGTTTAGATCTTCCATCCTGTGCTGACAAGGTTGCAAAGGAGCTCTTGGAACAGGGGAAGAAACCTTTATTTTCGACCATGGCACAATTAATCTTAAAATTCAAATTGAGATTACGTTCCATTACTCATCGTGCCCTCGTTGCAAGTATATTGCACATCGATGAATCCTTGGCTAAACGACTGCACCGATATTCCATGTTTCACGGGATATACAGTAGAATTAAGGTAATAGTTGCATTGAAAGCGCATGATTTAATTTATAAAAAAAGGTAATTACCCATGTAGCAATATTAATTGGCCATTTATGGTAAGATGTAGTCAATAACGTCTATTGTATTTGGCGCGAAACTCTACTGAGTCTCCTGATAGCAGCTAAACATTGCGAGTATTGCTTAAATATTGAAACGTGTACATTTTCATTTTATTTGTTGAACATTCCATCGGAATGTACAAAAGCAATATCTTTCCAATATTGAAGACTTATCGTAAGAGAATATCGCGCGTGTAACAATATTTATCTTATATTGTATTAATATATTGAATGTGATATTTACCGATAGGTAGCTTGAAGAAAAGTTTCGTGAACGATTGACTCTTTGTACGCCACTTTCACATCCCCTTAACGGTTGATGCACAACTATAAACCCTTATGGCAATTCATTAATTGCAATAATCATTTGTACATAGATTCCTAACAATTGGAAACGTATATATTTACAGATGACGCCGTTCATATACGTTAAGGTCAACACAGGGTGGACAGAAGAGGAAATTTACCTGATAGTTGCACATTTAGTGGAAAGATTGTTGGTGGGCGTCGGGCATGCGGTGCATAATTTGAAACCTAATCAACTTTCGATATACATAATCTTCGAGGCAAGTGTATTAACATTTTTAACATACCACTCTTTTGTCCTCCTTAACGGATCATTTTAAGTATTTAATTGCAAAATGTTCCATCAACAGAATATTCCAACGGCGGATCGTCTTTATGGTGGATCAATGAAAAGTCGAAGCGAAGAGATGGATCGAAGCAAAGAACTGATGGCCAATGTTTTAAAAAATAAATTCGATCCACCTTTGGCTTTTACCACGAGGAAACCAAGTAGATTCTGCAAGTTCAAAAGCCAAAGTATCGTCAACTATTTGAAATCGAAATACGTTGCTAATCATTAATTTAATACAAGATATCAGAAAATGGTGGCTGCGTAAGATACAATTTACACAATGAGATGGATCGAAGCAAGGAACTGATGGCCAATGTTTTAAAAAATAAATTCGATCCACCTTTAGCTTTTACCACGAGGAAACCAAGTAGATTCGGCAAGTTCAAAAGCCAAAGTCTCGTAAACTATTTGAAATCAAAATACGTTGCTAATCATTGATTTAATACAAGATACCAGAAAATGGTGACTGCGTAAGATACAATTTTCATCTTTAAAAGAATAAGATGAACGTACTTTGGTATCTATTAAACTCTCTCTGTCAAGTTCAGGCATAAGAGTATGAATTCAGTGACACCACGGGTTAATACAAGTCATGGATTCGGTAGAAAACAATTTTACACCATTTTTTCATGAAACAAAGTAAGTATGCGAACCAAAATATCGGACTGTTTTATAGTTTTTAATTTTCCTTTTTTAGTAACAGACGGCTCTTTATCGATGAGTTTTATAATGCAGTTCAAAGAGGTACCACTGATGCTCGATTTTACCAACCTCGGTTAAAAAGCAAGTTAGGAAATTCGGTAGAGTTTCGCGCCAAGTATACACACTTACATACGTACATATACGTATGCGCGAAACGCCAAGTTTGGGCGTGTTAAATTCGTAAGAATTAATATTCCCGTTTTTAAGAATACCTTGTGGATCAAGACAAGTGAGATACATAAGTACAAATGGTTTTGGCAGTTACTCTAATTGTTTCAGATTTATCAAAGTCATTTTTATCCTATAATAGTATTTTAAGCATTTTCAATCCTCGGTTACAATGTTCGACCGTATTTTAACGGCGGGTTAATTTACATTAACCGCCGTTTAGATTCACCAGCCAAATTAGACTTAAATAAACTTGATGCGGAACGTTTTTAACCCATTAACTTAGATGTTAGATTTAACCTACGGTTAGGTAATGGTTTAACCGAGGTTGGTAGAATCGGGCATAAGTAAGGCGGTGGTGTTCAACGTACAGATTAGCATGTGACCTTGAAAAGCTAGGAATGCGATTCCATGACATCTTAAATTTTTTAACATTATTATATGATTTATAGTAATACGTTTCATCACCCAACTATACGGTTAGGTGATAATGGAACAGTGTTTCAAGATTATGCAAAGAAGGGTTCACTCTGTCTCCCGGAGCCCTCTTGTGCAATTTGACAAATGAAAAAGAAAACGAAGTCTTATTACTTATGTACATCAGCTATATTATATATTTTAGACACTACGAGTTCCTTGTTATATGTACAACCCATAAGAGAAAGGGAGCATTTCTGTGTTCATTTAACACAATTCATAAGAAGTCTAACAGTTGGACAACCTTGATATAATGTATTGATAATACATATTGGTTAAATACCATCGATCATTGAAGTATTATTTGTTAACTGAAATAGGTTTCCTATATTAGTGCAATTGTTTGTAAAAATTAACCATGGGTATAGGATATATGGACCCAGGACGCGCCTAATCACTGATTTTATATTTTTGTGGCTGCAATAAAATAAACCCTTTCAGTGCCGAACAACGATATATCGTCACACTAAAAGGATTAAGATGAAGCGAAACGCGTTGAGAAATTTCATCGACGTCGGTAAAATGGATTCTTCTAAATACCTGCGTTGCCGACGTTCGTATTAGTATCGACAGCCTTGTCGAATTATATTGGGTATTGGACTAAATGTCGTACTCCATATGTCGTTTCCGTACAATAATTATAAAGAAAACGAAGTAAAACTCCAGATATCTCTTGGATTTATGGTTTTTAACGCCCTAATCGACTGCAGAGTGCCACCCGGCGCCATCTGTGATTTTGAGCGCCAACCAAATTTTCTCTCGAGACCTCGGGTTATCTCTCAATCTTTTTGCCGCCACATTCAAATCGGTATTTGGGGTCCATATATCCTACATTCATGTAACTAGCGCGCGACAATGTAAAATTATGTTGCAGATCTTACTTTAGCATAAGAAAATGTTTCAGTTGTTTTTAAGGACATTAAAGTAGTTCTTGCCGGATATAGTGAGATGATTTGCGAGATCTGTGAAACCGTATAAATTTACACGCGTTGGAATAGATTTAACGAGGGACGAATACTTAGAATTAGTTCACAGTTTAATATTTCTGCATTTGGTACAATAGTGTATAATCTTAAGCACCCAACATGTAGCGGCCGCAATTAGCACTGGCTAATTTTACAACCGATTAAGTATTTAATTGTTATAAAATATAGATCTGCGTAAAAGTGTACCGAGCGTAACGAGAAATAAATATACAATGCCGCGATAACGGATGCGTTTCATGGACTTGACAAGTCTTTGTCTAGATTATCTTAAACAGAATGGTGACTTATCACGTAAAGTAGTCTCGTAAAATCAAGTACAAATATCACTATTCGGTGTGTATCGTAATACTGATGCATCTGTAAACCACTATCGTATGAATATACATACACGTATATTCTTAAATAAATATTTCTTTAAAAAAAACATCTTAAGTAGGGTATTCGACTAAACTTATGAAAATTGAAAAGCACATTGTGGTAGGCATATTTTGAACCGTTTAGTCGAATTCAGGGATATCGTCGAAAGAGTAACCAGGAACTTTTCGATACGCCAGTAGAGCAACCCTCACATGGTAAGCACCGGGTATGAACATCAATGCTCCTAGAATAATTATTGGCCACATACGATCGGAATACTGGAACAGACAAGACAAGTACGTAGGCCTGGGATTGTTTTCTGTTTCACCAACACTCTACTGACGATTTAGCTAATAGATTGAACGTTTATTAAATTTTATCACTCAAGTGTAAGCATACGCAATATTGAGGAGGATAATTAAAAACGTGTAATGTTTGGAATTTAATCCACGTGGTTCGTCAATGCTTAAATAAAGAGTTTACCTTCGAGTCGATGTGCCCACTAACTATTAAACTTCCCACTATGAGCATGATAGTTCCACCGATGAACAGAAGTGCCGCCAGAGTGATAGCTTTCCAAGGAACTTTTACCGGAGGTCCTATAAACTGTTTATACACAAACATTACCTTATAACCATGGAAATGCATTAGAAGTCATGCGAATACCCTGAAGCTAATTACTTGCGAATCCACGAAACCATTGTCGGTTTCGGTAAGCTGTGTGTAATCCACGTTGTCAAATTGTTTTTCCCCTCCGCCTTTCCTTCTGGACATATTCAGCTTATTTAAGTAATCTGCAAATGTAGAGCGACTGCTTACATTCAACAAAGTAAATAAGCGATTCACTTAAGAATTACAATCATAACTGCGTCCCAAGTATATCCAAATGATTTTATAAATTAAGTTACACAGACACGGATTTAATTAAGAGCGCTATACAATTTAAAGGGAAGGGGAGATTTTCACGTTTGGCTGTAATTAAACGAAAGCCTGTTCCATAATTTATATAATTTAGACGCGCGATTCGGCATTAACTTCGCGTACAGCCCAAGTGTGGATTTGAATCTTCGCGGCTTTTCAAACGCGCAGGCGCATGCGCCGTGGTTGTTCCCATTTCGGCCAATAGACAGCATGACCAATCGGTCAATCGATAAACAAGAACGATAGCGTTTACTATGGTCACAACTGTTGCGCGTGATAAATCTCTTACTTGTCAACTAATACACTATTGCCATAAAGAAACGCCATGAATGACATGAAATATACTTCGCGATCAAACGGGCACGTCGGAAACGCGAGGACTTCATATTTATCCCGATGCCTCTTCTCTCACGGATAACTTCGTTTATTATTTAAACGACTCGCGAGAGAGCGTTGCACCGCGTAAAAAAACCAAACACATGGGAATACCTTCGCGGGAAACTCGCGGCGCGGCTCGTATATAAGTTGGTACACTTAGAATCATCAATGTCCTCGGTTTTAAGTTGGCCACGCATCGCGTTCTCCTGACACTAGGTCAACTTCTGTTATACATTACGGGTCAAATTACGTGACACACATCGACGCGAGTTCCCATCATTGGTCGCCTCGTCCAGAGAGAAGATAAAGCAGAGAGTTGAGAAATTGCTCATGGGCAGAGTCGCGCGATTGCGTCATGTGCTGCCCCTGGTGGAGAATGCAGACGGCTAGTGCACTTACCCCCCAACAGCGGTCCAACTCAAAGTTCCAATTAGAGTTCTAAATCCAGTGAGTTACGTCAGAAACGAAGAGAAATTCCCGGTAACTTATCGGTAATTTCTCCAAAGCCTTTTTTTTTATCGAGAAATCATGAGAATTTGAATTTTTCAACAGAGCGAACGAGAGGTTTCGATTAGCTATAGAGAAACATCGTAGAGGGGAATTTCCGTTGTTCTCCGTAGCCAATAAAAACCTCCCATTCGCTTAGTCGCAGAATGAAATATCAGTTTGTTTGTAACAAATCGCATGGAATTTTCCGTGAAGTTGTACATACGTGAATATTTTTAGCTGGAGGTAAATACGACCCTATAATCAATATTTTCTAATAGTAATTATTACTCTTTAGCTTGAACTTTGAAGTTGATTGAAAAGAAAAAAAGTTATTTAAACGAAGAAACCTAAAGTATAAATAACAAAATTAACGTTCTCTCACGTTGAAAATTTCAAGTAGTGCGTCATTCCCTATCCCTGAAATTCCTAACAGTTACATTCGCCCTGATACATTTTTGATCTTAGACCATACATATCTAGACCTCGCATTGAACTTCCCATTGAGATTTATCTCCCAGTAATGATTTCAAGGAATTTCCACATCCAGTGTATACTTCTAATAAGGGTAGGTCACACCAAACGGTTTGGGGATTTTAACGAGTTTTAAGTTCATCAAGTCTGTATCCAATAAATCGCATTAATAAACGCGAGTTGTCCTTCCCCTGGCGGTAGTTCGCCGAAACAGGTTCACGTTTAGCTTGGACATGCCTCGTGTTATTTGATAAGTTAAAAAGACTCGAGATGTGGCCAGGAGAAAAAGTTGTGTAGAACAGTTGCCACGTTTTTGCATGTTAAGGCATCCGTTCCATCATGGACGTTTTATGAACCAGGTGCCTAATTTCGAGAATACGAACAGGAACGTTTCAGTTATATCCATTGACTGAGAACTCTCTAAATTCTTAAATACCACACGGAATTATTTCCCATCGGTGAGGAAATAGTCAGAAACTCCCGCAGAACAGTAAGGAGAGAGCGATAAAAATGTACATACATTGAGGGCCGGTCAGAAAAAAGATGTCCAGTGAAATTTGCGGTAGGATTTTAGGAAGTCCCGCATTAAAGTCCGGAGAAAATATACTACTGGCAGTTACAAACCCGCGAATTTTCCCCAGCGTCTCGTAAATCACGCAGCCAGGAAACCGCGAGGAATGAAGCACGAGCGATCGTAAAGCCGCTCACGAAGTGTCAACTTGGCGGTAAAGGGAGCGAAACGTCGGATTTGCCCGGCGTAGATGCGGTAGCTCGTTGTTTATTCAACAAACAAGCGTTAACACCTACTCGATGTTAATTGTTGGAATGAAGGAAAGAGAGTCCGCGCCAGTCGGCGTACGAATTATTGGCCGATACGGCCCGCCAGATTTAGCCGGTGGCCGAAGCCACTGAACTCCCGCTCGTGTCGGTCTCCATATTTAAAAAATAAATGGCTCTTAAATCATCCACGTAGACTACCGAGAACCAGAGGAAAGAGGACGGCCGATTCCCCCGAATATTCCGGAATCCGCAGAAATATAATATCGGGGATCAGGGCGGCGCAATTTAAAAAATCTCTCGGATGGGCTATTTCGGTCGCGGAGCTCCTTCCTTTTTCCTCTATTTCTCGTTTCGCGACCGTCTCGGGATGCGCTATTCTCGGAGCGATCTTCGGAATCGCCTGGAGCCGGCTCCATCCGAATGACAATCACGTGGACGGACATCGGGAGAAAAAAACCCGGCACTTTTGCCGATCCCTGAATTCACTTTCGCATCCATCTCCGGGATTCCCCGGGGAAGGGCTTTATCGAATTTCCTGCCCTCCAGGCTCGTTCCTCCTGTCCCCTCGAGAAGTCTTCTTCGCTCGAACGAGGCGTACCTTAAATGGAAAAATTATTATAAGTCTAGTGGAATTCTCTTATACGACGCGGAGTCATGAGGAGGCACCAAAGGGCCATTCTGAACACACTAAAACGTCCAGACATGTAACTACCCTCCAAACTGGGTGCACCGAATAATTTTAAACTTCAACAAGTAATTATAGATCTCCTAACGAAGGTCTTGAAACTCAATATCGTGTTCCGATAACAAATTTCCTTTCGTTCTTGTCCGGGATAAACGACACATTTATTATATGTTTTTTTTTTCTGTATTAGGGGATCTCTATAGTCACGTTGAGGTTTCAATTAATTCTGGGCACCTAGTTTGATGAAAAGTTTTATAAATGTTTAGTATTTTCTTTTTATTTAGCACTTTCTTACCACCTTAAGCACTTGGAGGCTTCTGAGCACGATCGAAGGAGAGCTTCGCTTTAACCATGTCGCCTTTACGGCTGGAGCAAAGTTCAAGGGGAAAAAAATGGAGCAAATTTAAAGCCACTTTACGAGCAGACATTAATGTAGTTTATGGACTGCGAAATATCGGCATTCACACAGTCTACGGACGACCGTAGGAAATTGAGTGGCAGCCATGTCGCGGATCGCTCGAAAGACTTCCTTAGGGATAAGGATCCTCCGCCATTATCGGCGTCTCAATTGCTCCATTAATTCCCAGATAAAAAATGAGATAACGCGGGATCATCGGGGAGGTGCAAAATCGAGTTTCCAAGAGTACCCTCTACTTCGCGTACACCCCATTACTCGTAATCATCCGTTGCTTACTATCTAGCAGTTGCAGGACTGCATTTCCATACAAGTGGCGAGACATAAAATTCATGCGCAACTTCTAATCCCAAAGGGAAATATGGGAATCCAGAAATCATGGACCCGGGATTACGTGGATGCATTGCTTTCATATACAGCAAGTACTCGAGACGGCCGCAAGACGAGGCCCATTGCAAAGTACGACTCATTGCAATCGCCATTGTTACACTCTGAAAAAGGAAAAAACAAAAAAGTTGGTTGGATAAAAACCTGAATAAGATCTTCCGATCAAATGCATCGAAGGAGATGTCAGATTGAGTAAAGAAAATGATATACAATCAAGGAGAATTGGTTTAAATAGACATACATCTTACTGCCCGACAAAGTAATTGCCCCTCGCAATTACATACGATTCGGGCAATGATATTAATATTTCTTTCTGTGGATCTATTTCCTTTTTCTCAGGGCACTTTCAAGAAATCACGCAAACGATGGCCCACGCCACGAGTCTCGAAAAAGAAATGGAAATTATTCATTTCACAGAGATCAAATGCGTCGAAGGAGATGTCAGATTGAGTAAAGAAAATGATATACAATCAAGGAGAATCGGTTTAAATAGACATACATCTTTCTGCCCGACAAAGTAATTGTCCCTCGCAATTACATACGATTCGGGCAATGATATTAATATTTCTTTCTGTGGATCTATTTCCTTTTTCTCAGGGCACTTTCAAGAAATCACGCAAACGATGGCCCCCGCCACGAGTCTTGAAAAAGAAATGGAAATTATTCATTTCACAGAGATTGCGCGACAATGCTTCGTTGTACAGTTACGGGTACGCAATCGATAGGATGCGAGGGTTGCTGGAGTCGGTACATTCGAGTCACTGAAACTGTCAATGGAGGCTGGAAACCCAGATATGAGGCAACGTGACACAAGGCAGGTTATCACGGTGATAAGGCAATCGAACTCGGTGCGGTCTTATTACGGGAACCGGGGACAACCTCGATTTTCCCGAAGAGCCCGTCCACCTTCTCGGGCAAAGAGAAATTCCTGTCAAATTTCCTGACTTTTCTTTCAGACTTTTTCTCACTCCGTCCAGCAGAGTACGCTGCGTACAATCGCCTCGTAACGGAAATGTAATCGATAGGAAGCAAGGACGGCAGAGTTCAGGCGAACAATACGGTAGAATGATAAGGGAGGCCCTATCCAGGGTTATCACACGTGTGATACCCAGGGTGTTGCAAAAGTGAGATACACGGTTTAATTAATGCTATCCTTATCGAAAATGGAGCCTAAGCGCCCGACACTATCATTTTTCTTTCTATGGTGTATGGTTTACTTGTAATAAAAAATGTATAAACAATCAGGTGATACCCAGGGTGTTGCAAAAATGAGGTACACGGTTTAATTAATGCTATTCTTATCGAAAATGCAGCCTAAGCGCCCTGCACAATCATTTTTCTTTCTACAGTGTATGGTTTACTTGTAATAAAAAATGTATAAACAATCAGGTGATACCCAGGGTGTTGCAAAAATGAGATACACGGTTTAATTAATGCTATCCTTATCGAAAATGTAGCCTAAGCGCCCTGCACTATCATTTTTCTTTCTACGTTGTATGGTTTACTTGTAATAAAAAATGTATAAACAATCAGGTGATACCCAGGGTGTTGCAAAAATGAGGTCCACGGTTTAATTAATGCTATCCTTATCGAAATTGCAGCTTAAGCGCCCTGCATAATCATTTTTCTTTTTACAGTGTATGGTTTACTTGTAATAAACATTTTTTATTATATAAATAAACAATCAGGTGATACCCAGGGTGTTGCAAAAATGAGGTACACGGTTTAATTAATGCTATCCTTATCGAAAATGCAGCCTAAGCGCCCTGCACAATCATTTTTCTTTCTACAGTGTATGGTTAACTTGTAATAAAAAAAAATGTATAAACAATTAGGTGCGTCGATTAGCGAGAAGGGAATTCTGCTGCGCTGACAATGATCGAGAAAATACGAAGAAAGAAAGAAATACTTGGGTCGAATAGATCTTCACTGGGTGCTATCGACAAAGTGATATGAAATAAAATTAAGGCAGATAACAAGTGACACTCAATTATCATAAACTCCTTGACCTGTCTTAATTTCATTGTACATTTCGCCGATAGCAACCGGTAAAGCTCTATTCGATCCAAGTATTTCGTTCTTCCCAGATAGTGATAGTATCTCGATCGTTATCAAATGGCAGAATTCGCGTTGCGCTAATCGTCGCGCCTGATTGACCATTGTTCAATTAATTATTCCAGGTGAACGGTACCATCTAGAAAAAAATCCTACAGGACTTTTCGACGGGATATTCTCTCTTTGGGAGTCTGTAGTCGTGTAAACCGTGTCCACCATTTTGGAAACACCCTGTACAATAAGGAGATGCGCATGTGTCGCGTTCGCAAGTTCCATTGTGCCCGTCGCGTCTCGTTGTTCGCGGAGTCGCGACGGTCGCGCGAGGCCGAGGATGATGTCGCCTTTGAAGAGACGCCGACGCCGGGCGTCGCGACGCTTTGCGGCACTCAGTCGACGCCGCGACGCTGCCGCGACAGGCTCGCGAGGGGGCGCGCGGAAAACCCACGGAGAACGACGATGAATAGACTTCTTTTTTTAATAATTAAACCCTCCCAAAAGTCAAGCCACGACACATGGGCCGGGAATTAAATAAATAACTAAAACATGTCCAACCTAATCTAACCGGAAGAAATGAATTAAATTAACCTCGGCGAGAGGAGACTCTAGGATTAGTCGTGACAGTGAAACACAGATGCATGGACAATGGGAATTTCAATAATAATTGCAAAAAAGTGCTCCTCAATTTTTTAGGGAAAAAGGTGAAAATAGTGGGAGAGTGATATTTCACCGTCGGATGGGAAAGTCGACGAGACATTTTCGGGACGAACATTGCGGATAAGTCAATAATTAGACCATGTCCAAAGAAATCCAAGTCTAAAAAATGAATTTATTCACATCGACGAGAGGAAAGCCAGGATCGATCGTTACGGTGGAGGGTGGACAACGAGAATAGTACATATAATCGCGAACCAGTGGACGTTAATCGGTGACAAAGGAACAAAAAAAGAAAAAAAGAAATAGTGGAGTGAAATATCGTCGTAGGGAGGGAGAGGGTCGGTTGGGAAAGTCGAGGATAATATTTTAGGGTCGAAGCTTGACAGAACTGTGGGGGAAAGTCAAGGGGATTTATCAGGATTTAGGGATCTCAGGTGTAATTCTAACGAAATAGTCCTTAGAGCGACACGTGTCCGTAGTGCGTGCGTACACATTTTCAATGGATTCGGCGGAGTGATGAATGAAAGCCGAAATAGGACAAACATCATCATCAGCAACATTTAGTTCTATCGTACCTACACCGAAAGTTGTCTTACCGGGAACTAACGATCCCACGTAAACGGGGTAAAACCTGGGAATAAGGTTAAAAGCTTCCTCCTCCACCTCCTCCGGACCTAGGGAAATTAGGAGGGGAACTTTGTACTCGTGGAGATCCAAGGGGAAGGAAGAACAAAAAGAAGGATCCTGGACCCTGTTACACGGGCTCAGAATCGGGACGGTGGAAAGGAAGAAAAGAAGAGGGAATTCCCGAGTTCCTGGACACCCGCCAGGTCGCCGCGACGGGGGAAAGAATCTCCTCCTCGAATTATAACGACTTTCATTAATCCCCCCATAAGGTGGACCGAAATTCGTTGACGACCCCGAGAACTCCAGGGCCGACCGCAGGACTTTCCTCGGGCCAGTAAAACTGGATCGTGGGAGAATAAAGGAAGGATACGAAGCGAGGAATAGAGGCCATCACCGGGGAAGAAGCTTCCCCGTCGAGGGGAACTCTCCTGTAGACGATATCGAGGTGGAGGGAACCCCAGAGAGAGGGAGAGAAGTCTTTCTTTTCAGCAGAGCCCTTCCCTTGGATCGCGTTATGAGTTTCGCCTGTGTCTCAGAAACTCGATACCGAAAGGAAGTGCATTCTCGCGAGCATATGTGCCAAGGTAATGTCCCAATAATCCAGCTAGTGGAATTTCCAGGTGCACTGAAAGGAGCGGAACGGAATTCCTCGTACCCTATCCAAATTGTCCCTTCGACGTTCTTCCTCTCCTGGAAGTCGTCCCACGTTTCCAATTGCACTTCCTGCAGTCCCTGACACAGTTTCCCATCGATCAGTACGAGGAACGATTGGCTATGCAGAGCTCAAAATTCCGCTGTTTGAGAAGCATTAGTACATCAAATTACTCTGCACGCGAAGTACCAACGAGGAGTCAAGTCATAGTAGATTTGGGTTAGGTGTACTTGAACGCTCCACTCGGATTCGATCTCGGTCATCGGCGACCTCTTCAAGGGTTAACTTAAAAAATTCACCTTTAGGACGTGCACGAATTTGAAATCTATTACCTCGCTCTGAACTGCGATAAAGTTCCACCTGATGGAAGGGTTAATTAACCTGGATTAGACTGTTAAACGTGTCCTCACTATTTTTATTAGAAGAATGTTAGAAGTATCGGTTATCCCTGGGAGAATATCGTTGCTCTCCCGCTTCTTCCGGTGAAACCGGACGAAATACCCGGACGGAAGTCGATTTTCATTTAGAGTGATGATGAACTTTTGAATGAACGATAAGAGGTGTCCATTTGTCTATGCGCAGTGCACGTGCGATTGCATTTCGTCACGAATACTCGCGACAAGAGAGGTCTGTTCAAGAAATTGGAGTACCGCGTGCAGAGGAAACTCTTGTGAACGGGTTCACCCTGTGTACAGGTAACGAGAGGCGATTTGCCGGGGGACGAGAATGGAAATTAACGTCGGGACTTTTCATAGGTCGCGCCGTGACCGGGCGGTCTCGAATCGTTTGTCAAAATCGGAAACAAGGGGGAGGAAAATGTCGAGCTCGCCGAGGGTCCGGCAAATGCCGCCGAGGCCGAGGATCACCCTTCCGGTCCCGGGGCAGTACGGTCCCTATGCACAAACCCCCATGGGATACGTAACCACCCCATATGGGCAGACGCCAATGCCCATGACACCTGTCGCCGGCCAGCCGAATCTCATGTACTCCAACAAAGCCAGCGAGTTCATGTTCGCGCAATTTAGGGGAATCAAGGACTTCACGAAGTCCGGGTTAAGCGTCGGCGAGAAGAGCGCCTTCTGGATCTACGAGAAGGTAAACCCCTTAAAGAGCCACGCAAGTGTCATTCTGTATACACCGAGACGTCAAAGCAATTATGAAACTAATCCCCGAACTGGGTGTACCGAATTGTTTGAAATTTTAACACCTTAAGTGTCGGCGAGAAGAGCGCCTTCTGGATCTACGAGAAGGTAAACCCCTTAAAGAGCCACGCATGTGTCATTCTGTATACACTGAGACGTCAAAGCATTTATGAAACTAATCACCGAACTGGGTGCACCGAATCATTTGAAATTTTACCACCTTAAGGGGATATGAAAGGGTCACTCTATATATACATTAGAGAAGTTAATTCGTTTGGAAAAGTATATTGCGATTTGGGTGCACCGAATCGTTTGAAATTTTACCACCTTAAGGGGATATGAAAGGGTCACTCTATATATACATCATATAAGTTAATTCGTTGGAGAAAGTATTTCTCGCATTGGGGGTACCGATTCGTTCGAAATTTTACCACGGGAATATGGAGGCCCTAAAGTAGGTCCTGAAACTCATGAAATTTAATTTTTCATCCAAAATTGAGTTTGAAACGATTCGTTGCACTTAGTTAGGAGAAAAGTTTCATATATGAGATCTCTTCGCGTCCCTTTCACACCACCTTAAATTTCATTTCTTGTATAAGTCCATTGGTAAATATTATGAACATTTGCCGTGAAAAACTGAAATTCTATGGGCGTCATGACCTTCCTTAGGGCTTCCATATTCACGTGGTAAAATTTCAAAGGATTCCGTACAAACTGGTGACCCTTTAGACGGCACTTTCGTATCGCCTTAACAGCGACCACTCGAGCGCAAGATTATGCAGATGGATAGGGAATTTATAATGAAGAGGTCGAGGACGTAACATCGATCCGCGTTTTGCGTAGGTCAGTTCCTGGAGCAAAAGGTGGTTCACCCATATATTTCTATTCGCCATCGTGATGCTGTACAGCGTCGCCGGGGCGATGGTCTTCGTTACGGTGGAAGGTAGCCACGAAGACACCCTGCGAACCGACATCCGGAAAGAAAGGTCTGTTAACACCGTGAAAATCATATTCCCACATAGCCGATAAGAGTGTCAGAGTCCGCGTATCTCGGACAAGGACGAGAATTTCGATCCAACTTGGTAAACTCGAGGAGAACCCTAACGACGTTAGGCATCACGCACGTGATAACACTAATTCACGTGTAAGTTTCGAGTCAGGGTCTTGAATCGATATCCCTAGGTGAATAATTTAAGCCCTGCAAGGTCGCCAACAGTATAGAATAAAAGGGGAGTAAACCAAGGACTCGAAGCGAGAGAAAAAAAAAAAGAGAAAAAGGTTCAATTCTCGTCCCATTGAAAGAGTCCCATATACTCCCCCAAATAATAAATCATTTTATTAAAAAAAATAGAAATATTCAATATATAAGATATAGAACCTAAATAACTGCAAAAATAATATATTACCCCAGTATATGAAAAATTATAATTAAATATATAATAACCCATTAAAGCACCAATAAACATTATAGGATAAATAATTATTATTATCATAGATCTAATATAAATATATACCCCAAATATTATTATTACATAATAATACCTCCATATTATTACTCTACACAAAGTTAATATTACCATTGAACAAGATATTAATCCTAAAGTGTCCTTAGCTAAAGGCAATAAATCTCTCTTAGTATCATCATTTACACAATAATATAATATCCGTATCGTATAAGATACAGTTAAACCTCTTGCAATTATTATATATATAATATAAATATACAAATATAGTTATCATCGAGGAGAGACTCGAATGATTGCGAATAGAAAATTCTGATTACCAAATCCTGGCATTCTGTCCAGGGACTTTCCTCGAATTGACCCAGAAAATTCTTAAAAGCTCCCGGTATAATGTTCGATTAGAAATGAACTCGAAGCGAGAGAAAAAAAATAGAGAAAAAGGTTCAATTTTCGCCCCGTTAAAAGATTCCCAGTTATCATCGAGGAGAGACTCGAACAATTGTGCCCATAATTATGAAAGTGGTCTCAGTCATATATTTTTTGTTTTACATTGAATTAATTTCGTTTGAAATAATATGGCGTGAAATAACTGATAAACTCATTTTTTTTTTTAATTTTGACTTAGACCACTTTCATAATTATGGGCACAATTGCGAATAGAAAATTCTGATTACCGAATCCTGGCATTCTGTCCAGGGACTTTCCTCGAATTGACTCAGAAAATTATTAAAAGCTCCCGGTATAATGTTCAATTAGAAATGAACTCGAAGCGAGAGAAAAAAAATAGAGAAAAAGGTTCAATTCTCGTCCCGTTGAAAAATTCCCAGTTATCATCGAGGAGAGACTCGAATGATTGCGAATAGAAAATTCTGATTACCGAATCCTGGCATTCTGTCCAGGGACTTTCCTCGAATTAACCCAGAAAATTATTAAAAGCTCCTGGTATAATGTTCGATTATAAATGTCTGGGAGTTTTGGTCAGAAAAATCGTAAGGGCACATTTAACAATCCAATCCAGCCAAGGTGGATGCTCGGGAAAAAAATGCCGTCGAAGCTGAGAAATGTTTCTTTGAATGAAAAAATCATTCTTCAGGAACGAGACTCTTCGGGCTATAAGGGAACTGTGGAACGAGCCGGTCTTGGTGGATAATCCTGAGCTTTGGAGAGGAAGAGCTGCGAACCAACTAATTAAGTACGAGGCTCACCTGTACGACTCCTATAAACACGGGGTCACGGATCGAGGGGAAAAAGTCTGGACATTTTGGAACGCGGTTTTCTATTGCGGCACCATCTACACGACGATAGGTAAGTCTAGTTTTTAGACTTCAGACTAGTATTTACTCTCGTTACTCGAGAAGGCTTGTACATAATTCCCTGACTTCGATTTTCGAAACGAGGTCGGAGCTTTGATTTTTTATTTTACCAATACCTCGAACGACACCTGCGAAAGGTGCTCATATACACAGAGAAAAATGAAATCTCTTCGATTAAAAAAAGAGGTGATTATCTTGAACAATGCACAATTGGATCAAACAACAGGGTTTCGTCAAGAATAACATGCATTTACCCCAACGAAATATTTGCTTTCCATATAAAGTGACTATAGTACTCCGGGAATTTCTCTAAACCCGTAAACGCATTTAATTTTAATTGTAAGAAAAATAATTCAAAAATAACAGTGGGACGTTTTATTCGATCCATCGATAGGAAGCTGAGTGGGAAGGATTTTTTTTTTTTCTTTACAGGATATTACTTCTTTTAGTGGAGTTAAAGAAATGAAACGTACAGTTTGGGTTTCTTGCCTCGTTATTTTAAGATACGAGCTGTTCGATCGATGCGATGCATCGGGGTTAATTGTTCGGCATTTTGGAGAGAGGTCTGGATTTCTATGACTTTATGGTAGGATTTCATTAACACCACTCGAAGAAATAATTTCATCGAAAGAAAAGGATTTCTTTTTCTCGGTTTACGGTCTTGGCTCTTGGAACGTGTTCCAGCCCCGATTTGCCAGATTTCCGTCCTGGGTTATTAGGATCCCCGTGTCACCAAGCATCGTGGGTATTTCGGTACTCCGGTGGGTCGCAATTCGGTGAAATGAAGTCCAACCCCAAATTCGGGGATAATCGAGGCCCCAAACGACGAACGGAGGGATTATTCACTCAGGCAATCACGAATTTTGATGCTCGAAATCAGCTGGAAGTCTCAACCAGAAATCCCGGGAAATAATTGGAAATCACCGAAACGTTGTCACCATTTCAAGCCTTATCACCGAATCGTCTTGTACTTTATCATATAAAATCAAAGTTAATAGGTTCTCAAAAAAAGAAATCACGGATTTTTATGCTCAAAATCAGCTGGAAGTCTCAAGCAGAAATCCCGGGAAATAATTGGAAATCACTGAAACGTCACAATTTTAAGGCCTCCCGTCACTTATCACCGAATCGCATTGTTTTTTACCATATAAAATTAAAGGCAATAGGTTCTCAGAAAAGGAAATCATTTGAAATTAAACGCAATAGGTTATCAAAGAAGGAAATCACGGTTTTTGATGCTCGATGTTACGTGGAAATCAGCTGGAAGTCTCACGCAGAAATCCCGGGAAATAATTGGAAATCACCGAAAGGTTGTCACGATTTCAAGCCTTATCACCAAATCGTATTGTAGTTTATCATATAAAATCAAACTCGATAGGTTCTCAAAAAAAGAAATCACGGATTTTTATGCTCAAAATCAGCTGGAAGTCTCAAGCAGAAATCCCGGGAAATAATTGGAAATCACCGAAACGTTGTCACCGTTTCAAGCCTTATCACCGAATCGTATTGTACTTTATCATATAAAATCAAAGTCACTAGGTTCTCAAAAAAAGAAATCACGGATTTCGATGCTCAAAATCACGTGGAAATGATCTGGAAGTCTTAAGCAAAAATCCCGGGAAATAATTGGAAATCACCGAAACGTTGTCACAATTTCAAGACCTCCCGTCACTTATCACCGAATCGCATTGTTCTATATCATATGAAATGAAAGGCAATCGGTACTCAAAGAAGGAAATCATTTCCCCTGATTACCGAGTGAATAGCCCATCGGGATGAACCTTGACGAGTTCCCTTTGAGATGTCCAAAGAGTCCTATGGGGTCGAATCACCCGAAGAGGCCGCGAAATGGCCCGAAATCCCCGTAATCGCGACCGCAAGCCATTAAACTTTGGCGGCAGCCACGTAGAGGAGAAAACAAACAAAGCCGGGATCATTAAGGTCGCCTGTCCGTCCGCAGGTTTACGGTTTATCGGTCTTACGCGGTTGGATTTCGCGTTTGCAGCCATTTCCTAAATTAAACGACACATCCCTCGGAACCAGGGAATCGAGTTATTCGGCGAACGAGCAGGCTCGCCTTTAAGATATCCATTTTCGCGAGACACGAGGATGACCCTCCGACTTTAGTCCCGTGTAAACCTACGCATACTATTTCGAGTTCTGAGTTCCGTCGTTACGTAAGGAAGGAGGTTCTAGTTCGAACGTCTCCGCGGCTCGTTCGGATGGGTAGAATTATTTTTGTGCACCTTTTTGCCGCTGAGAAGTCATATTTCAAGTCGGTCTCTATTTTCCCTCCACGTGGACGAGTCGGCGATAATATCCTAGGAGAGGAAGCGAACGAAGGCCCGGGGAAATTGACGCTGGAATTCTCGACAAAAATCGACGACTTCCGGATATCAATTAATCCAACAACCGGGGACAACAATTAGAATATTCCCCGTACGCCCTGTTGCACCTGCGTCGAGTGCACCTAGCCTTGTACTTTCCGTCCCAAGGTGCAGCCACCGTATGAAACGTTGTTCCCTCCCATCTATCTAGACCGAGTGCAATTTCGCCGGTTCTAAAGTGGATGCAGGACGGGCGAGGGGAGCATCTCGCGAGGCTGCTTTCATTCCGTTTTGTCCTCGCCTTCTCTACTTTATGCACTTCATAATTCCCAAGCTCGACGGCCAAAGGGCTTTTTCAAGGGACCGTATCCCATGAACCCACCGAGTAAACGTCTCGAAGTACTGGAAGGTGGAGGTAGAAACGAAGTTGGACATTTCTCCGTGTCCCATGAACCCACCGAGTGAACGTCTCGAAGTACTGGAAGGTGGAGGTAGAAACGAAGTTGAACATTTCTCCGTGTCCTATGAACCCACCGAGTAAACGTCTCGAAGTACTGCAAGGTGGAGGTAGAAACGAAGTTGAACATTTCTCCGTGTCCTATGAACCCACCGAGTAAACGTCTCGAAGTACTGGAAGGTGGAGGTAGAAACGAAGTTGAACATTTCTCCGTGTCCTATGAACCCACCGAGTAAACGTCTCGAAGTACTGGAAGGTGGAGGTAGAAACGAAGTTGAACATTTCTCCGTGTCCCATGAACCCACCGAGTAAACCTCTCGAAGTACAGGAAGGTGGAGGTAGAAACGAAGTTGAACATTTCTCCGTGTCCTATGAACCCACCGAGTAAACCTCTCGAAGTACTGGAAGGTGGACGTAGAAACGAAGTTGAACATTTCTCCGTGTCCCATGAACCCACCGAGTAAACGTCTCGAAGTACTGGAAGGTGGAGGTAGAAAAGAAGTTGAACATTTCTCGAGCGACCTGGAAGTCGTCGAGTAGCCACACGCAGAAACACAAGACATCCGCCCTCATAGCCAAAGACGGCATTGGAAACATAATATAACAATTGTCAAGTATCAAAAACGCGGATGCCAAATTTGTTAATAAATTACAAAATACAAACTACTATACTACTAAGAATAAAATGTCCAATTCTATCCCCAGCGAATTAACAGTTCCATTGTGGGCTTGGCAAGACGATCATCTTAAGCGAGTCTTAAAGTTATTGTAAAATAGTCTCCTTTTACCATGTCCGTGGATGATTTTTCCGCTTTTGGGGGGGACTGCGACGAGGTTGCGGCGTGGTTGCGGCGTCCCCGGGCGCGTCGCGATGCCGCGTGGCCGGGCCGGGCCGGTTCGATATCCGGCGGTGCGTCGTCCGCAGAGAGGCGTCGCGACGCCGGCCCGGCTCGGGTGGGAGCGGACCAGAGCGGAGCTTTATTTCGGTCCGCCTTGGTGCCGGGTGGACGAGCAAAGCCGGAGCATCCCGGCGACCATGGAGGACAGTTACACGGTGCACCGACGCCGCAAGGCGGCAGCGAGGAGGCGCGAGAAGACGCCAGATCCACCTCGACGTCTCGAAGAGACCGACGACGAGGATGGTGCCCGAGCAAAAATGGAGAAGATGGTGGAGGACACGGAAAGGATGGAGCTGGAGACCCTCCGAGCCCCCCTGAAGAGCGAAGAAGCCGAATTCGCGGAAGAAGTGGCAAAATCGAGCGAACCGAGACACACCTCAAGGTCCTCTTCGAGGTCGGCGAAGGAGGAGCGGAGAAGTAGGTACGTCGAAGAAATTGCGCCTCCGGGAGACTCGAAGAGGAACGAGGCGGTGACGTCCAGGAACGAGGAGGGTGCGGAGAGTGGGTTCAAAAATAACGAGAAGCGTCACGGAGACGCCGAAGAAGCGGTTAGGTCGGTAAGTAAGGAAGCTGCGGCGTGGGATACGAAGGAGAGGATGAGGGAGGAGATAGGGGAAAGGAGGAAGTCGGAAGTCGAGAGGGAAGAGAGGTCGAACGAAGGGGAGAAGATCGAGAGGAAGGGAGAAGGCAGGAGGAGGGTGGAGGAGGAAGGCGAGATGAGGAAGGTGGAAAGGAAGGTGGAAAGGAAGGTGGAAAAGAAGGTGGACAAGAAGGTGGACAAGAAGGTGGACAAGAGGAACGAGTCGTCGAAGGCTGTAGAGGAGGCGAAGATGAAGAAGAGCAGGCCTTCCAGCTCGGAGGTGGAGGCGAGGTCCGAGGAAGAGAGAAGTCGAGACGCCGAGAGGAAGGTGAAGAAACGGTCGAAGGAGAGGATGATGGAGAAGATGAGCTACGCCACCACGGACTCGAGCGATGCCGAAGAGAAGAGGAGGGACCCTAGGAAGAAGAAGTCCCCGGACGCGACCAAAGGGTCTAGGGTCCCTAGGAAGAGCGTTGGAAAATCCAGGACTACGACGGATACGGACGGAGAGCCGGAGATCTTGAAGAGCTCGAAGGACTCGAAGAGCGAGGAGAGGCAGAGACCTATCAAGCCTAGCAGAGAGAAACGTCCCTCGGGGAGAGAAGTCTATTCCGCAGGGTCTGAAGAAGAGGAAAAGGGTTCCCGGGTGAAAGAGGAAGGTTTCGAAGAATCCGTGGTGGAGGGGTCCCTGGTGATCGGGGCCAGGAAGAAGGATTCTTCGAGAATCCAGGGATCCGAGAAACGACGCGCTTATCCCAGTGACACCGACGAAGAGCCGAGGTCGATAAAGAGGAGCGAGACCTTTCCCCAGGGTCAATCGGCAGAGAAAACGCCGATCGGAAGATCGGCTTCGGAGATGAGGAAGCTGATCATTCCCCTGGACGACGATAGTCTCATCAAGGACTTCGCCAGGGCCCAGGCGGAGTACTTGAGGAGAGAACGGGGCATCCTGGATCCAGACCCCGAAGACCCCGACTACCTGATCCGCACGTCTTCCATCCTAAGGAGAAGAAAAGCCAGCGTTCTCCACTCCGACGAGGAACAGGAGGAAATAGCCAAAACGATGCAGACCCCGAAGAGCTCCTGGTTCTCTTGGTTCCCTGTCTTCTCCATATTCAAGGGAAGATCAAAAATCCAGGTAGAGACATCGGAAAACGAGGAGATCCCGCAGGAGATCCTGAAGAGGCCCCAAGAAGACGTCGCCCAGAAGAGAGTCTCCATTTTCGAGTTCTTTGCAGCCTTGAGGGACGTCTTGGCGGAGTTCCGAGCCTTTGTCGAGCAAAATCCCAGAGAAACGAGGATCATCAGGAAGCTGAGGAACCGATGCGTGGCCGAGCTCATCCTGATCATCATTTACTGTGGCCTGGGTGCCTTCGTCTTCAGGTTCACCGAGGGAGCCTTCGAAAGCTTCTACAAATGTGGCGTCAAGAGGGTTAAAAGGGACTTTTTGGACAGTCTTTGGAACTACAGTCACAATATGAGGGAGGACGACTGGAAGAGCATGGCCAGGAGGAAACTCATGGAATTCGAGGAGCAACTTCATACCGCGCATGAAGCTGGAGTTCATTCTTACAGTGGTCAGAGAAGCTGGAGCTTCTTGAACGCCGTTGTCTATTGTCTCACCGTGATCACCACTATTGGTGAGTGGTCCTAGCCAGGATTGATAAAAAGCATGATTTGAAGGACCCTCCCGGGACGCAATTTGCAAAAATCGCGACTTAAAGAAATAAACATCAGTCGATTAAAATCGGTGATGTTAGTCGATCGATTTAGATCAGCCAACCTTGGTTGTGTTACTATCGGGGTCCAAGTCTCGATCAACTTTTTTTTTATCCTTGGGTGCACTTTCCCCTTGATGATGTAGGAGTAATGAGTACCCTGAAAGGTGGAAGACGAAGGAGCGACGAGGCAGCCCTTAGCCTGTAATTGAAGGCAAAAGGCGTTCGTCTAACAAGGGCAAGGGCGATAAATTGACTCCCCCGACGAAGGACACTCCCGGGGCGTAATTTGCACGTAGAAGTCACCTTTATTTAAATCCGAAACGATATCCCGAGCACTCTCTCTACCTTCTTTACGAGCAATTAAATCCCGCCTGTCAGAGGTCGCAAATGAGAACTATGCCAAAAAGATATCCCCCTTCTTTTGAATTACAAATTAAAAGGGATAAGTCGGTGGCCTCACATTTGGAACGAATCTTCCCAGCTTCTTCTTTTTTCTTTTCCCTTCCTTCACGTTATACTCTCGTCGCCTAGGAGTCTAGGGGTGCAGCTGCCGAGTGCTAATCCTGCAGTTAAGATAATAGTTAATCCAACTCGGGCCTGATGCATTTTGCAATTTGCATTTTCTTAATCTCGAGAACACGGGCCGTACCGAGGTTTACCCTGGAGTGCAATATGTGTACAGGTCGCCATAACGTCGGATTAACTCCTTGCGTTATCATGTGGGATGGATAACGGAAACCGCTTAAGTTTTGGGGACCTTGCCAAAATCAAAGAGTGCAACCTGGGGTGAATAATATCCTCATCGCCGGTCTAGAGTCCCGAAAAATCCCGTGATAAAGGAAACCGCGCAAACCAGGAAATAAATCCGAAGCTTAAAGTTCAACCTGCATTAATAACAACTTCAGTCGGTACAGACAATGCTTCACGTCCTGATTCCTTTGTTGAAAGCGACGTCAAGATTATGAAACATCACTTACGTCTGGGTGGCCCAGAATAATCACATTGTGGATTTGTTAGAATATTCGTAGATTAATTAAGGTGATATGAAAGGGTCATTCTAAAAGACCACTTTTTTTTTCCTTTTTTTTTTAAATTAAATTTCATGAGCATCACGTTCTTTCTTAGGACCTCCACGTTACACCCCCATACGTTTCGACGTATGTAATAGAATAACCCTTTCATAACACTCTAAATCCCCATTTAAACAGATATACGATTCCCACGTCCCGTTGAAACAAGACGGATGACTTCCCTAGATAAGGGGAGCCGTGATTAAAAATAAATCCACGTCCCTCCCGATTCCATTTCTCTTGATTAGCTCACTGACAAGGGTAGACCTAAACTTTAAACCAGTCCGTACAGATATCTCGTTGTCGGACCTCCACCTAAAAGCTGCAAAAAGAAGAGAGCTACGAAAGTTCCCCTAACTCTCTTCGACAGTCTCCAGGAAAATTCCCGTCGAAGTCAGCCAGCCAAAGACTGGCGTAATTGCGAGCCGATCTCAATTAGGAGCGGTACTTAGCGTGATTGGATCCGAACAATGCAGTCCCTTCGGAGTTTCCTCAGTGGATTGCATTTAACTCCGTTGACTTCTTCAGGTTACGGACATATATCACCCAGCACCACGACCGGAAGAGCCTTGACCATCGTATACGCGATCTTCGGCATCCCGATGTTTCTGATAATCCTGGCCGATTTCGGGAAACTTTTCACGAGAGGTATGAAGTTCCTTTGGGCCTTCGTCAGGAGGCTATACTACACCGGGAGTTGTCGCAAAGTTCGAAGGACAGTGCCGGTTCAGGTGAGGTTCAAGCCCAAACTCCGCTCATGCGCTCGAGACGAAAGAGTAAGAAAAATTGAAAGAAAAAAAACATTTTAATTATTTATTTCACCTGGATTAAATGATTAAGCTGGTACGAGAGGTGGCCTACGATAGGTCAGTCGAGGAGGCGAGACGGTTAATTTGTTCCTTTGCTTTCAGGAAGTCATGAAGGGGGTGCAATTGGTGTACGACTTCGCGACTTTCCGGCGACCCTCGCAAATGAACCCCGAGGAGATCGAGGAGATGCAGAGGCAAAGGAGCCAGGGCCAAACCGTGTTGAATTTGGATGGAAACCTGCCCACCCAACCCGATACCCCGGGGACCCCCGCCATGTCGAACTTTGCCATAGACGACGAGTTCAATTTACCTATTTCCGTCGCGATCTTCATCCTCCTCGGTTACATTTTCGTAGGAGCGACCCTCTACTACATGTGGGAGGAGTGGGGCTTCTTCGAGAGCTTCTACTTCGTGTTCATCTCCATGAGCACCATCGGCTTCGGAGATTACGTTCCCCAGGTAAAGAGGAGCCCTTAATCCCCCACCGTGAGAAAATTCGGCCCGGAAAGGGGGAAAGAGAGATTTACTTTGTTTTCCCGTTAGCCTTCCGGAAAGAGCTTCGATTTCTTTTTCCTTCCCCACACTCAAAGGAAAAGTCCAGTTAAAAGTGCCAGATATTCATAGCAAGGTATTACCTGGCTCCGTTAACCCTTTTTCCCCGGTAAAGCCAAGAGAAATGTCTGGACTTCTGTCCAGGAATTTTACCCCCAAAGATGTGTACAGTAGTTCAAGAATTATATCAGGTAACCATGTATCCAACCTCGGTAATCAGGATTTCCTAGTCCTATCGATCAGACCTTCTCGTTAACGATAACCAGAAATCTTTTGACCAGCATCTAATAACGTTAACCAGGCTTTATCCTTGAGTGAAGAAAAGTCATTATTTATCATTTCAAATAACGTGGGTCTGCTTGTTCCTTTCACGGTGGCGCTCAGATGGTAAGCTTGACACAAAAACGTTAATCAACACGGTTGAATGTATTTAAATGCAAGGAAAAAAATAAGAAACAGTCACTGAGCACATTATTCCGATTGATAAGACGTTAAGATCGCGCGATCGCCACGAGAGGCGAGGAAACTAACCGATTGATTGATTGATTTAGCACCCGATATACATGATGTGTTCGATAGTGTACTTGGTGTTCGGCCTGGCACTGACGTCCATGTGCATCAACGTGGTTCAGGTAAACGCGAATAACGATTGAGAAAAAAACGGCAAAAATCGAGAACAACTAAGGTTTAATCCCCGTTTCCTCATACAGGTCATGTTGTCTGATTCGTTCAAACAAGCCAGTCAGAAAATCGGGGCAACGATCGGGTTCGAAGTAGCCGAAGACGATGGCTCTATCCAAGCTGCACTTCCTGCACCAGTGGAAGTGGCCGACGTGCACATGACGATAATGGACTCGGAAAGCAAAGAGAAAATCGCGCCGACGGCCAAGCAGGAAGACGTGGACCTGTAGATTGGATAAAGGAACAGCCCGAGAAGATAACGAGACAAGGTACAATCGATAAGAAATAGAAACTCGGGTCAAGAAAGCGTAAAAAGAGCGGCTGAAGGCGTCAATTCCCTATCATCTGGATGGAGGAACTTCCCTATTATCCCCTATGGGATGAAAGACTCCCTATTATCAGGATTCGGAAAGCAAAGGGAAAATCCCGGCGATGGCCAAGCAGGAAGACGTGGACCTGTAGATTGGGTAAATGAACCGCCCAAGACGATAACGAGACAAGGTACAATTGATAAGAAATAGAAACTCGTGTCAAGAAAGCGACGGCTGAAGGCGTTGATTCCCTATTATCTGGATGTAGATATCATTGTCGCGTGGATTTTGGATCAGGGATCCAGGGACCCGATTCTCGAGTTCACCTTTCGCATGCGAAATTCACAGTTTTGTCCAAGACTTTCAAACGTTGACCAATTACGTGACTTCGCAACAATGTCGAGATTTCTCTTGCGAATCTATTCGGACGCGAAAGAAATCCGCATGAAATCGAGAATAGAAGCCCAAGTGATAAGAGGTGTCATTCTACGGTCAACCTTGCCAAACGTTTCGGAGTGCTCCTTGCGAGGTTCTTCTTTTTTTTCCCCCCTTTCTCCCTAGTTTAGCGTCGATTGACAATAAAGTATAAGAGGTTCGATCTTCTACTTTGCACAACTTACAAGCTCTAACGATTTCTACGTCGCAGTAAGTGCATGGGTGTTTCGTAAGTTCTTTTTACGGATTCGGGTGGATCTTGCGAATTACGTTCTCGCTGATAAGGAGCCCTAGAATCATGCGTTCGTTGATAAATTGCCGTCCGCGAACTCGTAGAAGGAAGAACTGACTCTTCGCGTTAAGCCGAAAAAGAAAGAAAAAGGAAAAGGAGAAAAAAAAAGAATCAATTGGCTTTGCGAACGTTGACGACACAAGCTTCGCCCTTTGAAAGGCTAGAAAACCAAAGAAAGACTTCCTCACGCTATTTCCGATGAAAAACCGGATATCAGCTCGCAGAAAATAATCCATAAAAAAAAACAAAAAAAAAACAGCGAAAAACACGAATGCTATCCAAAGGGCTCTAAAATCCAGGCCGCGCTAACGGATGAGGTTTAGACGAAACTCGTGCCTTTTTACGAATGAGAAACGCGTTGTTTATATTTGATCTAACCTTCTAATTGCGAGAAATTCGTGCATGTGATAAAACGTAAAATTACTATTAGGGGTTGAGATGAAATTCGCGAACTCCGGCTGCCGGCCAGGCAACGGGGATTTATTTTCTTTTTTTTCTTTCTTGTAGCGTAAACTAGTCAGTACGTCGTAAAATGCGTGCTCAGGGCAGATTTTGGAAATTTTAAAAGGTTTCGATCGGGCGTGAATAATTTAACGATCAGACCTTGTTTAATTTTCACAATTCGCAAGTACTCCACGACTTTGCCGCACATTATACGTGTACTTATGCGTGCAGCTAATAAAACGAATAACGCGTTGAGTACTGTATCAAGTAGTTGATATTATTGATGCCATTGTAAATTATCGTTTATTCAAAATATATATAATAAGGCAATGAAAATGCAAATGAATTTCATGTGCGAATGACGTCCCTGGTTTAAGGTAGGTAGTATGTGGAATAAATGCCAATTGCAGCGTAGTTATTTCTTAACGCTCGTTCCAATGATTGTCACGGTAATTCCCTCGTAAACAATTTTAGTATCAGTGATACTATATGCGTAGGAAAGCGAGGAATGATATGAAGAAAGATATGGTACATATATATGAGTACGACGAGCTCTTCCTAGTGTGCAATAAAGACAGAGAGAACCGACGATGGTTGTGCGCCATCCAGCGTTGCACTGTTGTTAGCTTGTCAGAATTGTATTCTACTTTACTGACATTCTTAAAAAAAAAATACCGGCTTTATAAATCGTGCATACAGAAATGAGTTGGGAGATTGCTCACGGGCAGGGTCGCGCGATCGCATCGTGTGTTGCCCTCTGGTTTCGTACGTTAACTTTTACCGAATTT